TATTCGGCTGGGGCGTTCTCAGCTGTGCTTTGCAATCGTCCGGCCTCTGTCTTCAAGTCTACGTTCGAATCAGCTGGTAGTGGGCAGTACTTGTTGGTGTGCGAGTGCTGACTAAGGCTTGTCGTCGCAATAGCAGTCGGAGAAGTGTCAGGTTATCACCATGCTGGGCGCATGAAATGCTACACAGGAAGTTATGGCTGCTTCGTACTAGTGTTAGCAGTCGGTACGTGGCGAGCGTGATCGACTGAGCCTTTCACAGATATGCTGGTCTCCTATGAGGCTAGTCGTGCGAACAAGCGGTCCAGAATTGCAAGCCATATTGCAGACTCGGGATGTTGCAGTATCTCTGCAACGATATACATATAAGTACATTCAGCCCTTACGGTGCACCCCGTGAACAACGGCTTATTCATCCTATCTATCCAGTTAAACCCCGAGCATTTTCGGACATACCCAAAGGAGACAGGTGAATTGTGAATTGCGCCACCTCCCTTCCGTATTGGCTCATTGACGCTCTATATACCAGCCCGCAGTACGGAGCACTATGAGAGATCTTAGTCAGTGGAAAGTATATAATCCCCAGGTCATCGTTCTCTAGTCTTCAGCCCGTCAGCGTAAACCCGCTCGCACGTCCAACTACCATATCTAAGACCACATTACCGTCACCGACACAATGGCGATCGCCTCAGTCCTCGCGCCTCGCGACGTCCCGACGACGTTGAACTACTACAAGCCCCTCACCGATGAGCCCCCACACAGCTATGCCTACGCTGTCGAGGGCAAGCCCCAGACCAATGTTGGCAAGGAGCCCCACCCCGCCGTCGTGCACGACGCCCGCGGCCGCGAGGCCGAGTTCTCGCTCGACAAAAACGGGTTCCAGTGGGTGCACTGGCCGAGCGTCGAAAAGGACTTGACCGACGACGAGATCATCAAGGAGAAGTACTACCCCGAGGTCGAGCGGCTCCTGAAGGAGGTTGCGGGCGCGAAGCGTGTCTTCATCTTCGACCATACTGTCAGGTTCGTCAGTGCACCACCTCACTGATGGACAATGTTGACATGCGTCCTCGTCCAGGCGCAGCGCCAACTCGGAGGACCAGAGGGACCCCAAGAAGCGTGGCCCCGCTGTGAGCACACTCGCTTGACGATTCGTCGGGTGCAAGACTGACAGTGCCGCCCGACCCCTCCGCAGGAGCTCGTCCACATCGACCAAACGTACGAGGCCTCGATCGAGCGCGTCAAGTACCACCTCCCCGACGAGGCCGACCGGCTGCTCAAGTCGCGCGTGCGCATCATCAACGTCTGGCGGCCGATCGCGCACCCCGTCGCGCACCACCCGCTCGCGGTCGCGGACTGGCGCACGCTCGACCACGCGAACCTCGTCCCGGTCGCGCTGCACTACCCGCACCGCACCGGGTACACGTACAGCGTGCGGTACACCCCCGGGCTGGAATGGTACTACCTGGGCGGGCAGACGCCTGACGAGGTGACGCTGATCAAGTGCTTCGACTCGGAGACGGACAGGGCGCGGCTGACGCCGCACACGGCGTTCCCGGACGCGGGGAGCCCGAAGGATGCGCCGCATAGGCAGTCGATCGAGGTTCGTGTTTTGGTGTTCGATGCTGAGTAACTTTGTCGGCGGAAGGCTGTTCTTTGTAGCGATGTACGTATATGCACGTGTATTCTGATGTGACGGCGTTTACCTTGGACGGTCTTCGAGCTGAACTGTAGCAGGGACCAAAGATACGAAGCGTTTCATGGAGGTGAACTGTGTTGCACTCGCGCCTACGTTGCGTCAGCCCAATACGTCGGCGACGGAGCGATCACAGACAATGCACTCAGATCTCGACTTTGCCCACACACTGGCAAACCTGCGCCAAGATGCAGTGTTGCTGACCTCGAGCCATCCGGAAACCGCGAAGTCTGGTAGACAAGCCTGAGCTGTCAAACTAACTGAACGCGTATCCGCCGCTATGAAAACCCACCTTGCAGAGATAGGGATGTATCTCCCTCTTTACTCCTCTTCTGTCCTGCCAGTTCGGCTGCTACCCGTGTTGCATGGAAGGGTGAACCGGTGAAATTGTCGAGCACGGCTAAGTGCTCACTCTGCTCCTTGTCCTTGTCCACGTCCGAGATAGTCGAGTGGGTCCACGGATGGGTGAATCTTTTCCCAGCCGTACCCTAATATAAAAGCATCCACACACAATGACAGACGCCCCGCTTCTCACTGTCTCAGACTACGACCGCGATGCCAGGCAAGTCGCACAAGCTCGTCACAGTAAACACCGTACCGGAACGGGCCAAGCGGCTCATTGGACGTGTCGTGGAAGATGTCAAAGACAGATTCACGATCGTACACGTCGCCAATGTGGAAAGTAAGCAAAACTAGCGCATATCTACCGTCTGAATTGGTGCCTGATGGCCATCGGTGGCATCCTACAGCGATAGAGAATGTCAAGGAGACACTCGAGAGGGAGCAGCCCGACTTGCTAGTAAGCCTAGTACATCCACTAGCAGTACGCGGGGACTACGTCATTCACAGTCGACAGTTCACTGCGTCGATGTGGACGCCCGAGCAAGCACATGTATGTCACGGCGACGTTGTTATTATCACTTGACCACCACGCATGATTATCGCAGGAGATCGTGAACATCGCGAATGCGACTATCCCAGGAATCAAGACGTTTAGTATTCCTCAAGGACTCCAAGCAGAGAAGGGACCAGACGCAGTAGTAGAGTATATTGAGGAGCACCTCCCGGGCCTTTTGAGTTCGTGAACTTCAATATCATTCTACCACAGGTGCAAGCTCAAGTAGCACTACGAGCTCAGTTCCTTCGATAGAGTACCTAGGCACGCACTTTGTCCTTTTCATGCGCCTATAAGGATACGAGTGGGCCTCTCGGCGTCGTGTACTCAGCTACTTAAATCTCCTCTGGGCGCTCAATGGACCACCTGAGAGCCTTAAGATTGGCCGCGCGCACAACCAACTACTATGTCACAGCGTTACGAAGCACGTGAGTACGGCGTCAAGCCAATTAATATGGCGATTTACGTCGGCAAGACTCTAGGGATTGCACAGACACGTCCACAGCGGTTGGGAGGAAGATAGAGGTACAGATGTAGAGGGGAATAGTATAGACAATAAATGAGTAAATGAAAACGTGGCAAGGATCGAAAACAGGCCTAGAGGATGAGATATCAGTCCTCTGAAGTGATGCCTTCCCGGTCAAGCTCCTCGAGGATGTTATTCGGAAGGACACGATGGCTGTGATACTTCTTGGCTGCCCAAGCTGCCTGCTTCCCGTTGAGACCACGACGATATGCGTCCATGAAGCGGTGGGCCCGAGTATAGAACCTGCACCAAAAGAGGCTCAGTAAGCGCCCTATGAGCTAAAAATGGAAACTGACCTTCGGATCGTCACCAGCGGAATAGAGTCCAGCGCAGCAAGAACATTCCTTTCGAGGTCTGCTTCTGCCGAAGATGACGGCATTTCACGATACTTGCGCTTCGAAAATCCCCAGCACTGTTCAATGCAATTGAGCTCACAATGGAACTTTGGCAGGTAAATGATATCAAAACCACGAGACCGGCAGTGGGTCTCAAGCAGTGTCTCGACATCCCGGAAGTCTGGCTCGTTGAACAGGAGCCGTCGGACACAGCAGGACAGGGCAGGGGGCTTGCACTTGAATCCAGTGCACTCCCTCGGAAGGCCCGTGAGATTATACCCACGCTCTGTCAAGATTTGTGCCATTCCCTTGAAGACGCCTGCGCGTGGGTGTCCGGGCTCAAAATAGAGCGACTGCGGCTTCCCTTCGAACCAGCCGTCTGCCATGGGGACCCTCCTCTTGTGCTTGTTCCCGTTCGCATCGTTCGTGATAAACTCGGGGCTGTGAAGACAAGGATTAGATCCGACTAGAGTCGAAGCAAGATCTTCAGTCAGTAACGAAAGACTATATTGCAGTAACCAACTAGAGTCGAAGCAAGATCTTCAGTCAGTAACGAAAGACTATATTGCAGTAACCAACTGTACCTAGAGTCGAAGCAAGACTACAAAGGTTAAGTAAGTAACTACAAGTTAGAGGTAGAGGTAATGAAGTACTCACTCTTCAGTCAGTAACGAAAGACTGAAGAGGGAGGACGCAATCTGAAGTCTCTATATACTACAGAGAAGAGTCCATGACTAATCAAAGAGTGGTTAGTCACATGTACCATAGTGCGATGAATAATACAACGACGAAAGAATTGCGACGTATCGCACCATAGGATGAGTAAGAGATGAGTAAGGCATAGACCTGTCTAGACCGTTCTGGAGTAGTACGGATTGTCCTAGACAGTACCAGAAGAGTCCGGAAGCATAGCTATAGTACACGAGCAGAGAGTCCCAAATATGGTAACATACTACATAAGCGACTACAGCTAAGCGCTAGGAGACGCATAGCCTCGTGTAGTCCGGACCGGATAAGTCCAAGTTCAACAGTTCGACATCTGGTCCACCCCGAAAACTGGTTTGCCGGGTTTAGTTGGGTGTAGGGACATCTTCCTGGCAGAGAGCGCATCGGCAGCACGTTTCAGGTGAGTAGGTGCATTGTCGAAGATGAAAACATGTTGCTCATCAGGGTAATGTTGCGAGAGGATGTCTATTGCGGTGGTGGCATGCGCGAGAATCTCTTCGTGTGTAAAGTAGCCGTCCCGATTCTTCCCTGGTCGGAACAGGACTCGTGCTGACTCCTTTCCATCAGGAGACCGCAACCAGCCGTGCTCAGCAGAGACAAAGTCGGCGACCATAAGAGATGCGCCCTCTCCCTTTGCTCGTGGTACTGCCTTCTCTGACTTGTGAACCCAGCGGCGAGTACGGCGGTCATGAGCATAGAAGACGGACTCATCATGATGCCAGTAGATGACACGGCGGTTACGAGGGCGAGGTGAGTCGTCTGGTAGTGAAACCTCTGTTCCGTCCTTGTTCCACTGACGTGCGAAATGGTCGTAGTCGGCAATTGCGGGTAGGAACCTAGACTGCCGGTACTCGACAACATCTGCACGTTCATGGCCATCAACGAATTGTCCGTTCGGAGTCTTGGTCCAGCGGTAGTCTAGATGCCGCATCCAAACTTGGGCCTGCGAGAGCGAAATCGGCTTGGCAAGTCCATACTTCACTTGATTAGCAGGGAGAGCCATGAAGTCGACAATGTCCAGTGCTCGAACATATTTGCCAACACTTTGCAAGTGCTCGCCAATCGCCTCTTTCAGATCTGGCCGTTTTTCGAGAAGAGATTTCGTCCATGTGTTCTCGGGGGTCAGTGGGAGCTCGTGCCGGTCTGTCAAGAACGCGCGTGTCCAGGTGCGCAAGGATCGAGCGGTATGTATTCCCTTCTCCCAACGCACTGCAGTCCTGAGTGAGAGCGCCCCCCATTGCTTTGAATCACCACTCCTGACGTAGTCTGTCAGAAACATCTGCATTTGCCACAGACGAGACAGCAGGCGGTCGTCACCAGCCACAAAATGGCCTGCACCCCGGCTGTGCTTCCGAGGTGGGCGGATGAGCTGTTTGAGATCCTTTAGAGCTGAGCACGCCTCCTCCACAGATGGCGGAGGCCTAAAGCTCGAAGCAGGTTGTGAGACGTTGGGTACTGGGGAATAGGTTGCGAGGTGCTGTAGAAGCGCGCTCGATTCTTCCGGCTCTTGCAGCATCGACACTACAAAACTCACATGTATGTATGCCGCTATCATGCATGAAATGTGTTACACAACTGACCTTGCGCTACTCCAGACAGAGATTCTCTCGGTAGAGTCGCAGCTGGGGAGGGCCTCAAAATGGAAGGACTTTCGCAAACGGAGAAATTGAGTGCAGTGGGCCTTGACATGTTGGTGACAGCTTGACTGAATGATTGATATGTTTGCAGAACTTGTTCTCGCCGCCTGTCAAGGGCTTCGATCGGACTTTCGGAAGGTCTATGGGAACGGTGCTATTTCGTGTGCTGTCAAAAAGCCTGCATGCTTCACCCTATCGGGGAAGCGCACCTCTGGTGTCGACGGCGGCACGTTCTCCTTGTTTCCCGCGCCTCGGGTCCGCAATAACTGTTCCCTCGGTTTCTTCTGTGCATGCTCCCCTAGGTTTGTAATTGAGTTGCTGTTCCGTAGCTTTTGTTTGGGCATGATGCGAGGTGAGGGTGTATGTGCGCTGCCAGCTGGAATGATATTTTCCCTTTATTGGATAGTTCCCGATTCGTACATATGTTTAGCGCCGTAAGGATCGCAAACAGCCGATGTCTATCTACTTTGTCCAGAGAAGCAAAACAGAAAATCGAGAACCTGAGAAGTCTAGGGACACTATAAAACTACAGTTCTCAGGTTTTAGATTTTTGAGGCAGGGGCTCACTCTCGAGCCTATAGTTTTCCAAACATTTCTCCCCGCCAAAACAGGGCCGAGCGTGACAGTTCTGGGCACGTGATGTAGTTGGTTGTGCGCACGGCCAATCTTACCAATTCCAACATCAACGGAAGCGCCCATATAGGCCTGGTGGTCTAGTAGTATGATTCCTTCTTAGGGCCTCTGTGCATTTGGAGGAGGTCAAGGGTTAATTCCCGGCTAGGCCCTTTTGTTTTCTTGTTCAATCTGCCTTTCGCGCCATCGCTTCTGACATTGAAGTGCCATTGTCGCTTCTACCCATCATGAGCTCGCCCATAGCGCGCATTACGTGCGCAAAGAAGATCAGCAATGCAAAGACTCGTACTCTCATGGCTGGTATCCTGCAGAGAGGTTCAGACACCAACGCCGCAGACATCTCTGGCTTCACTCGCGCAGTTCTTCAAGTTGAAGGCTATCCCGCAACGTCTTTCAAATGAACAAGAACCTCAAGCTTAGCCAACACGTGTGGAGATCGGTAAAAACCGGCAGCCACAGCATCAGGGGGCGCATAAATAGTCCCCTCTCCGAGTCCGGTAAGTCTCGAAGGTCCTGTCGTTTCGTGATTCTCCGCGCCCTCCATTTCCACTGCTAGCAACCCGCTGCGCGCGCATGCCATATGCATGCTGATGCGTGCTGATCTCAAGGCCACGCGTTCAGGGCAATGTTCTCTTCCCAGATTGACTGGGAATAGACACGACCGTCGCTGTTCACGACACGCCGCAGTGGTCAGCATGTTCTCGACCTCAAACGCTTTGCGTAAGGGGAAGAGGTCCGCTACGCAACAATGGTACCGTTTGCAGAGTCGGCGAGCGAATTTGCAGCGCTGCGATCGCCCTCCTCGCAAGATACGGCTCGTCCGCGTCCGCGTCCGCGTGTCGATCCTGACCTCGCCTCCCCCAATTCCCTTTCAAACCTCGACGGCCTAGCCCTTCGCTTACTGCCTAACTCTCTCCGAAGGAGAACGCTGTAGAAGAGCTTTACTTCACTATCGAGGACTCGCTGAGACTGCTTTTCCACCCAGCCTCACATTCGGCCCGGAATGGATCATTGACCAGTCAGCGAAGCTTATGCTTTGCACTACGTACCCTCTTGCAGTTTACCATCTTTCGATCTACAGTCATACCGAGTTCGCGGTGCTCCGATTACATGCATATGAGCCGTAACAACGGGGTCAGCTACGGGAACATCAAGGGGCTGCTGCAACACAGTGCGAAGGTCTGCATGGCCGCGTGCAAGGGGGAAACCGCGGCCGTTGAGCCGCCGAAGCAGGGAACAGGGATGGAGGCTCACCGCGTTCAACATCTGGTTTTGGGCAGCATCGCGTCGGTGCGCCAAGCCGCCGAAAATTTCCTTGAAAAGGAGGACGCACTTCATAGTACTATTCAACAATGCGTGAGTTCCCTCCAGATCTCGGTGTTGTCCTCTCGCTGAAACTTCGTAGTGTGCGTAGAGGCGTGATACGACGCCCCGTGAGGGATTTGACCGCCGATAGGAGTAGCTGGAAGAGCAAGTGAAGATCGCGCAGGGGACGAATTGATCGTGCTCTCCCTTGTTCGCGGTTTCGCGCGGGAATCGTGGAGAATGACTACAAGTGCTCGGTTACTCCCAACACTATGGCTTCCAAGCTATTTCGGCGATCTCTGATGTTAGTCTGTCACACATGGACTTGCCCGCCGCTGAACTTCTCATGGCTATCTATGACTTCGCTCCTCTGCAACTGCCACTATGGCCCTAGATGGCATTGCTTGCCCATGCCGACTTCTTCTATTCCTCCGTTACTTACACAATCCCGAGGAGCTTCTTGGCACTCGCGGGATCACAGTACCATATATACCAAGCACGCCCGTAACCTCACCCTCCAGTTATCGCATACCGTTACATTTCCTCCCACATGCCCCGCCTCGTGCTATATTTGCCTGTTGTCAGTGAGCCTATGGTCCTTCTGCATTGTTCTCTCTCACTAACATACTGGGGTCGTTCTTTCTATAGTCTCGCTCCCATTCGTTGTGACTCCCCTTGACCTGCGAATGCCCTACTCATGATGAGCAATTTTTAGGTTCGGGACTCGCCCTTGACATCAATCTTCGAGGAAGATGGAAATGAGTAGGGGCACCGTGATAGAGACTTGTCCTAGCGCGTTCGTGCACCGTGAGGGCCTACTCGCGAGCATGAAGGAGCTCGTACAGCGATGTGGTGAGTCCAAGGGTTCACTCGATGCTCATCTATCTTCATAAACACATTTGACAACCATCCGTAAGAAATCACAAAGGTTCAGGGAGCAAATACACGATCTCGGGCCTTAAGTTACTGCACGCTTGGCACTGAACAGTTGTTCTCACCGCGACTACAATAGCACGGGCGAACCAGTTGGGCATGGGCTCTTCTGATCATGATGAGATGGATGCACGTCTCCTGGAAATACCCTTGATTCTCTGTAGGCTGGCGTACAAATGTCTCGACCCCACGAGTCATTCCGGGCAACGCTCCCTGCCCAGGAGTCTACACCACGCAATACCCCAACTCCTCAATCGACATGTCTGCATTGGCGGACCCGCAATTCGTTGCCGATTTTGCTAGCAAGTTGGTTGCCTTCTGTTGCCTCTTACGAAGCGAATATCACTCACAAACATCGGTGCAACCGGTAGTGTTGTGGCCAATAATTGCTTTTTTGCAGGGACAGGTGAAACACACCCGCCCGAACGCATTATCGGGATACTCATTCGTCTGTTTCTGCAGTGTTGTTCCTGTACGATGCTTTGATCACCACCGGGGACGAGATACAATGCTTTTGGGGAAAGAAATTGACAGGCGCGGCGATCCTGTTCTGGCTGAACAAGTACATCACGACGTTCTTCATGGTATGGAGCATTACCAGCTACTTCAAGATATCAGATGTAGTATGTACCCATTCCATTCCACGATCGTTCCGGTCCATTTAGAACCTACTGACACTTCTACCTCTCAGAGGTTAGTTAATTTTGCTTCACTCTTCTTGGTTCGGTCTGCGGAATTCGCTTTCATGTGTCCACGCGTAGCTGCGTCGCCTCGGGGAAAGGGCTGGCTGCCATCGATTATCTACTTCTTCTGGTTCTTCCAGGTGAGAGATACAGCAGGCCGTTGCGTTCCTATCTCCAATACTCACGGATCGCAACATCCGAATTCCTAGCGTTCACCGGCATACGTGTATATGCGCTTCGCAAGAGCTTGCTCCTTGCATCTGCCGCAGCCATTTTATCGACCGTGCCTCTTGGAGTCAACTTCGTAACACATTCCCCTTGCAGATGTCAATCTCCATATATTCTAATGCATCCATCCACAGGTTGACTTCGCCTTTGGTTTGACCGGCGAGATCATCTTCCCCTTCGGTTGTGTACTCGTGGATCAGACTCCCGTGCTTTGGGTGAAAATGTAGTGCTTCGTTCGCGATCTGTGATTGAATGCTAGACCGAAGCTGACTATTGATCTCCAGAAGTAGGCCACGTACCCGTGACAACCTCAACTTCTCCCTTATAGCTGATCATTATAGAGACCATCATGGCACGTTCATGCCTCATCGCGGCAGACTGCATCGCCATTGGTGTAACATGGTATACTTTGTCTCGACGCCGTGACATTCGTCAGCCGCGTGCATTCAAGGGAACCATCTCAGATGTGCTTCTGGTTGACGGTGAGCTCATAGCCTGCGCCAAACTCAAGCACAACGTGAATGCTGATGTACATGAGCTCAGGAACCGTCTATTTCATGTACGTTCCGCCCCATTTGAGCTTACCACTTCTCATGTAGCGTTTTCTCTAGAATTCTGGCTGTATTGAACACCTTGCACCTGACGTTTACGGTGGTCTCGGTAAGCTCAGAACCCACTATATCATCAATACTGACATACTCATGCCGGACAGCTCGATGTCAACTTCCTACAGAGCACCAGCAACGTTACCCAATTCACAGTCCCGTATGTGATCATTGATGTATCCGTCCTTGAACCATATCTTGACCACCAGAACTTGCACGTCACCTCCATGAATGCCAACGCCTAGACTATCTGCAATCCTCATCTCGCGCTTTCTCTTACACTTGCAGGGCGCCAATCTCCGTGCTATCGGCGGTGGCTCTTCGCATGCATTTGCAACGACCCATAACACCTCTATCATCTTCAACCGAGTGGCTGGATCCATTGGAGCTCCCATCGATGCAGACGACTACTTCTCGCAGGATGTGGACCCACAGGATGCCAGTAGTGATGGCATGAATAGAGATGAAGAACTCGAGACGAAGCAGGAAGAGTAGCTCAGACTCTAATTGCTTTGACGATTGAAATAGTTGATCAGGAATGCGGTGTGCCGAAACGCTTGGAAGGCTCCCTTAGCTGAGTGTTGTATGCACACACGACGACATCGTATATGTTAGCACGTTGTATGGCGGTTTCCGTGTACAGCACTAGCACCTTGGATTCATCGATTATAGGGCACTCTTGACACGGCAAGCTTGTCCCTCACGCGTTCAGGAGAACCAATTTGAGACAACTACCCCCGCGCACTCGAGCGAGCAAACTGATTAGCGGAGGTCAGGGAAATCGATCCCTGCAAACCATGGCAGCTAGACACGCACCAACTTCACAGAGAGTCGTACTATGATAGAAACCCAAGCCATCACCTTTGCTTCGCCGCCGGACATGACCGCATGCGCTTCCGACTACGCGCAGATAAAGCTTGGCTTCTATGCTCGAGTGTATACGTTAGCTAAGCTTATTATGACAATGGGAGTCTCGGGGATACAAATGCAGTTAGGATATATATGCTATGCACGTAGAGCTGAGAAAGGATGAGGGGACAAAACATCAACATCACACTTGAGGCTTCAAGACTGGGGGGGACGATGGCAGCGCACCACTCGGAGGGATAAAGGATGAAAGGTAGAGGGGTACCACGGAAAACGAAGGCAAGGAGACTAAGGACGGCAGACGGGGCCGATGCGCGGAAAGCAGGTGGGCGGGGACATGCGGGCATCGTGCGTGCGGGTTGGCGATCAACAGCAAGGTGAAATGAGACTGTTAGATGAGGTGAGGGGAGGGAAGCACTATACAACAGGTTGTCATGACGTCGTGAACGTGGGATGCCGTCTCGGAATTGAAAACACAATGCGCATCTGCCAGACGGGCCATTGCTACATCAGGTGCAACGCTGCCCGCGCCGTCTGCGTCATCTGCAGTCGCATGACACGGTCGTCGGAGACCATGAGGATCTCGTCTCGCCCGTCGCCAAGGGGAGGCCGAGGCATATAGGGGTTGGGGTACTGCCCTGGTGACCCATAACCATTCGAGCTCATGGAGGTACGGGAGTCCTGTGCATAGGGATTGTAGCCTCCGTATCCCAGCTGCTGCACCTGGTAGGGGCTGTAATAGTTGCTCGAGGAGTTCGTCGTGGACGGCGGGGTGTCTGCGAACAGGCAGCGGAGGTTGTTGCCCTGGATGATTTGCGACATAGACCCTGTCTCCACATGCCGGATCTCGACGAAGGTCGGTTCGAAAGCGAGCACGTAGGGATAGTGCAAAGCTAGTCGGATGTCAGGCAACTTGCATCCTCGTAGCGCCAATGAACATTACGTACCGAAGCCCGTCGGTGACCCCTCCCAATAGACCATGAAGTCCTTTCTTGAGCGCCAACCGGTCTTGTTGACATAAAAGGCAAATTCTAGGATGAACGATCAGCTGCTACTCCCGATCGAAGGGGAAAGGCTAGAATCACCATCATAGCAGAGAAGGAACTCGTTGTCTATTCGATAGATAGCGAGTGGTTTGAGGTTCTCCCTCTTGTGGACGAACTCCAGGGAAGCGTCAGCCGGGTCAAGTAGACCTTGAGTATCCAAGGTCTCGAGGTCGACGATCTCGAAGCCGTTCGTACATCCGACACATAACTTAGTCTTCAAGAAGTGTATTGAGCTCGATTGTAGCGGGATGTAGAACTCCTGTATGATCGTGTCAGCACCGAGTACCCTTTGACTTGAAGCAGTACGCGCCTTGAATACGCGAAGGGTGTCGTTGCCGCCCTGCAGCAGTTTCTTGAATGTCGGTTTCGCCCTGCCGCGGACTTGCTGGTCGATTGGCTCTAGCGTCTTGATGGTACTGGATAGAGGACTGGACTTGACGACGCAAACGAGGGTCTTCCCTAAACAGACACCTGCTTTGAAGAAGGATATGTGCGACGCTATCCTCTTCGCACGCTTTAGACCAGCCAAGGGATCCATCGGGTCGAGGGCGTCGAGCGGAAACGTGATGACTTGTCGTTCTGCCCAAACGAGTCAGAAGAAGACGCAACAGGACGTCGGATCGACAAGTTTACCTGACAACACAATCAAGAGCTGATACTCCTCCAGCACGTCGAGCTGAGCTACGTCCTTCAGTGCAAGGACCTTCACAGGTTCTCGATTGCGCTCCATTAGATTCGACAGGTAGACTCCATCATCGGTACCGTATACGGCTTTTCTCCCTTGATCTACACAAACAATCAGTTGAGAAGGCCGTCAAGAACGTAGGGAATTAACTGACAGAAAGGAGCGGCGCAGTTGACCCGGTTCACACCAACGAAGAAGCCTTCGTTGATAGTCACCGTCTCGAACACGTTGCTGCGCTCGCGCATGGCGTCCTGCTGCTTCTGGATGTGCTCAACCCATTTCCGCTGGCTGACATACGTGCTTGCCCACAACGTGATCTGGTAGTACTTGCGACCGAGATGCACGAACGTTATGGAGAAGCCGCCCTTCGCGTCCTTCACCGGTACGACGGGCGCATGTGGTGAGTTCTTGATCAGCTGCTTTTGGCGGGCGTTCATTGGCTTCGCCACTGCGTAGTCATCAGGTGCTGATACAAGCAGGAGCTCGAGCGGTATGGGCTGTCCCGAGTTCAAAATCACATGCGCTGACGGGGTGGATGAAACGACCTACCCGTCGGTACACCTTGTACTGCTCCACTTTGCTCTTCGGCTTGACCATGAGGAGAGCGTGATCGAACAAGAACACCATGAGGTCTCCGCTGTCGCCCTGGGCGTTGCCACGCTTCTTCAGCGCGCCCTTGTAGATCAGCTCGCGACCCTCCTCTTTCAGTCGTAGGTCCTGCGGGATATGTCTTTGTATCATACGATCTGGAGAATATCAGGATAAAGCTTACCACTTGTTCACCGGGACGGAACACAAGCTGCTGATCGAGCTGTAGGAGGTTGAACCTGTTCTCCGCCTTGCCTGTCTCGGCGTTGACGGCTTTCAAGAACTCGCGGACGATCTCAATGGCCTTCGGCAGCGCGGTCTTGTCAGGGTTGTCCTCGGGCGTGTGCTTGAGCACGGCCTCGAGCAAGAGCGGATACCTCGCCAGACGCGTCGTGGGCTTCGTCAAGTAGCCGTTCAGTTCCAGCTTTCTTGACTCCGGCCGACGTTCCGTCGCCTGCTCAACGTCATCAGCGAATCGGACTCCCAAAGGCTTGACACCCGCAGTGCATGTAAATGCGATCTACGAACCTCCACGAAGCGCGCAAAGGCAGGATTGGAGCTCTTTTCCTTCTCAAACTCGTACTTGCCGTACAGCTGATGGGCACCATACGACACGAACGGATGGAAATGCGGCACTGCCTCGAGCAAAACGTCACCGATCTGCTCGACGACAGCATACGACTTCTGTCGCTTGTTGAGGGCATCCCGCAAGCGCGTGTTGACGGCAATGATGTCGTGTATGTTCCAGAACACTTGCTCGATGAAATCCTGTCGTCGGGGCTCTGGGATGATATCTGATTCCTTGAGCGGTTTCATCCAAAGCTGCAGGAACGACAGCTGTCAGTATGTCACGATAAAATATATGGAGATCGGGTACGCACGTCTCGAAGGTACTCCATGTCGCGCACAAAGTCGCGCTCGGTATAGATGACCTCGTTGATCGCCTCTTGTCGCTTCTTTTCCGCGTCCGACACGCTCGCAACGACCTCCGCAGGGACCGTGTGGATCCACAGCGTGCCTGCCTCCTGTAACATGCGCAACACCCATCGCGCACAAACGCAGCAGCAAATCGAGAAACATAGTCCATGTGAGCGTCCCAGCAACACAGACACCGCATGCGTACCACAAGTTCGCCCAAGCTCTCCTTGCTGATCTGCTTCTTGAGCTCCCTCTGCGGCTTCATGTTCAACCGCGCCTGCTGCTCCAATCTCCGCGGGCACGCGATTGAGTAGCACAGCTGGTCCCGCGTACACGTCGGCGAGTAGCAATCCGTCAGCAGCGTGAACACCCCTGTTGGCAGCGGCACGTCGTCCGACGCAATCGAGCCTGCACGCGGCCGCCCAGCAGTCGGCGACGCCGGTGTAACCGACGGCGTGGGTGACCCCGGACGCGAGCCGTCCTTCTTCTCCGAGTCGTCCTCCGCAGATGGGGACGGGCTCTCCTTGTCCTTGTTTCCGTCGCTGGGTTCGGCCCCGCCGATGAGAGGTTGAGGCGTCTCGAGGGCCTTGAGAATTTCTCCGTGCTCATGCGGGGCGTTGTGGATATTAGCGAGCTCCCCACTGACGAACGGACTTGGGAGCTTTGTGCGGAACTGGTAGAGGTCGTGAGAGCTGTCGCGCAATCGGTGATCGTACGTAACCGCGTGAAAGAACTTCTGCGCGTCCAGCGCACGTCCCAGCAGAAGCGCGAGATTACGATCCGTGGTCTTGATAATATACGCGATGGTGTCGACAGCTTCGCGACCGTCGAACGCGTCCTTGTACGTCAACCCGTCCTTCAGTCTATCGGAAAGCTGTATTCGCTCCTTGAACGCTTCCGCGACGCGCGACAGAAGCGCGGGGTAGACAATGGGCGTCCTCCGGGGACGTGGATGTGGCGAGTCGCGCCCGGGGCCTACGGACGACGGGACAGGCGGCCGCCCTGTCCGGCCCGCTTCGATCATAGCCCGGATATGTGGTGTCATCGCAGCAGACATGGAGTGCGAGCGGTCGGTGATGCTGCGATTACGTTGGAACTGGAACTGTCCCGGAAGGGTCCGCGCAGACTCCGAGGACCTACGCCCAGAAGGACCAGCGTGTGCAGGACCGACATGGACCATCTGCGTGGGCTCGTCAACGAGTGTGGAAGATGCGGGAGAGATGCTGACCCCTGCTGCCTGTGCAGAGGCGATGGCAGTGTCAAGTTGAAGAGGATAGGGGCGAGACGAGGATTGGTGGCTATGACCGACGCTTGAGTTGAGATCTACGCTCCCTCCTACGCCAGACGCGACCGACACGCGCGATCGCACACTATTGGGGGTGGAAGTGTGGTACGGCTTCGAGTACGGGAGCTCACTGGAATCGTCCTCCGTGGTCGGGTCGCTCGGGGGCGTCGCCTCCGGCCCGCCTTTGCTTCCATAGGCGTCACCGTTGCCAAAGCTCGTCTCGTTAATGAAATCGAGTCCCAGCCTCCCATCGTCCGCTTCGATGTTGATCCGGAGTTCCGGAAACTTGTCCAAGGCTGGAGGCATCGTCTGCACAGACTGTGGCCGAGGGCCACGAGGACCGTCCGGGCGCGAGGGAGAGGCAGGGGTCGGTGCCGACCGAGCGGGAGACGGGGAAGGGGGTTGGGGCTGATTGTGTTGCGGCGGCGGCGGGTGTTGTTGTTGCTGTAGCCAGCTCTGCTGTTGCCCCATGGGGCCGTTATTCATGTACACCTGCGCCTGATACGCTTGTGCGGGGGTGAGGCCAGAGCGTGTGAGGGCCTCGAGAGCGGGGTCTGGAGGCTCCTCCGGGAGTGGTGCAATCACGCCTGGAGCACTTCCGATAGAACGAGCCCGGCTTGCGATGGATGGCGGGGCGAGCGAGCCCGCGTAGCCGTATTGATGCTGGGAGTAAGCTGGGGGTTGATAGCCCTGCTGTTGAGAAACGGGGTTGGGGGGCGAAGGGGATGAATTTGGGTAATAGGACTGCCTGAACGTGTTCGGAGGCACCTGCTGCTGCTGGTAGGGTCGAAAGGAGGCTGTCGACGTCCTGCGGTCGAGCTGGGAGGAATACTGCGGATAATATGGATACGGCTGGCTGCTGGGCTGCTGCTGGGGGAACTGCTGCTGGAACTGGGCGGGCGGGGGAGGACCGGGAGTGAGTTGGTGATGTTGTGTGCTCGGGCGTCCGAAGATGGACTCGTATGCGGCATTGCGCTTGTCGGGCCTGCGGGGACCCATGGGGCGGTCCATGGCGGCCAGAGTGGCGGCGGACGGGAGAGGGGTGGGGGACGACGTCGAGAGCGACGGGCAAGTGGTACGGTACGGTAGGCGCCGGCGCGAGGCTTGGGCGCGGGACTGTGGCTCGGTGGGCGACTCCGAGTCGAAACCGTCACTTGCCATCCTGCTCAGCTCCCCGCAGACAAACCACTCGCGGGCAGCCACCATCACAAAAATTCTCTGACGTCGGTGGCAGCCCCCATCTCCCTCAGATCTTCCCACCTCCGTGGTATACCGTCCGCCATTACATCTTGAGGGATATACGAACAAATAAGATACTCATACACCGAGCGGTACCGTCCAAGCCATTTCCGAGGTCGTCGATCCCCCAGCCCCCACATCAGAACCGCAGGAAGCCGCGTTTCTTCTTCTTCTCCTCCCCAATCGACCCGCTGTTGCTGTAATTGGTGTTTACCGACGCCGACGATCCCCCAAACGACGGAGCGGGCGATGGCCTCGTCAACCGCCCGCTCCCCGACTTGGGTGTCGGTGCAGGGGCCGCGCGCGGCGGCGGTGGCGCGTCGCGCGTGAAGTACTTCTGGTCGTATATCTCCTGCGCCGATCGCGGGGGCGCGGTCGTCTCCACCAGCCCGTTGGGCAGCGCCTTGCTCCCGATCCCACCCATTTCGAGAACCTTCAGGTCGTCCACGAACTGCCGCGGGGTGAGCGCATGCGTCGAGCCTGATTGCACATGCAGCGCGGACCGGCGTGCATCGGCGAATTCAGCTGATCTGCTCACGATGGAGGTGCACGCCGCGCAACGTGGCGCTTACTTACCGATGATGATCTCCTTGTTGAGCGATTTCGATAGAAGATAGGCCTCACGCATTTCCGAGTACGTCATGCCGCCGGCGACGAACACCAATATCCGCTGGCGGTTGTCGTTCTGTGTGCCCGCCCCCCTGGTCGCCTTGTGCCAACTCGGTTTCTGGCTCCGGAGCGACACCGCCGGCTGTATTTGCGGAGCCGAGCGCAGGCTGCTCGTCGTGGGCGCCGCCGATGGCGCGTCTTTGACATACGGGAACAGTGTGGGGTCGAGCTTGTTCGAAACGTGCTCCTGAAAGGCACCCATCATCAGAAACGCTACTCAGGCGTGCTCCATGTCGTCATACCTCCAGCACCGTTCGTAGCACCGGCTTGTACCGTGAGAGCTCGTATTCCTCTTCGTTGCTAGGCTTCTGCTTGATCTTCTTCTTCGTGTCTTTATCGCCCGCTTGCTAATACCATTCGTGAGTAACAGAACCCGGTACGACGCATACGTGACGTGCACGTACCCTACTTATTCGCACTCCAAGGTGTACGAGCGCGTTCACCGCATCTTGCTCCGCCAGTGTCAAGCGTGCATGCTGGTATAACCTCCGGCGGTCCTCGTCCGGAACACCGTCCCGATGCTGGATGTACAGCGCGATAATGCGGACCTTGTTCGTGTTGCTATCGCGAGAACGTCACGAGAACGGATTTCCACAAACAGAAAACCAATCTCGTCAGCGCAAGTTAAACAGCACCCGGCGACGTCATGACACGTACACAACATCGCGGCTATCAAGGAGAGGCACCATCTCCTCGACAAGCGTCTTAGGAACCTTGCCCTCCGCGGTGACACCAGTGGCGCAATTCTGTCTGAACTCAACGCAAGACCGAATGACACGATGAAACCCTGCGCACCTGCTCGACATTCGCCACCGCAGGCAGCTTGTCGCGCTCGAATATTGCCATACACTCCTGAGCCATGTTCAAGTGGAGGGAGAACTGCAATCATAGCGGCCGTATTGGCTGCGGGTACCGCCGCGAAAAATGCCAGTATCTCTCACCTTGTCACGTTGCTCCTGGAATTGCGGCAAGTTCGCAAGCATATCCTTCATGTCGTTCAAATTTGCAGCGCCTTCTCTGTGCGACATGTCAGAAAACAATGACACATACGGTCGCCTACTGCCGTATCGAGATCGCTATGACGCACCCCTTGAACCCTGCATTATCCTGGAGGAACTGGTTGAAGTCCGCCATAAGTTTATCGATCGCCTCGCGCATGTGCATGTGCCGCAGCTCCGTCCAGACACTATCAGCATCTGACAGAGCCGCCGTCTTGTCTTCCAAACCCGTCTGTGTCTGGAACTTGTATCTGTGCATTTCAATAACAATCAGAAAAACCTTGAGCCTCTCCTCATCTACCCACACGCGCGCGTGTGCCTGAAAACACCTACGTGTATGACGTCCCGTCTTGGATAGGAAGCAGGTCGTTCGCCATGGCTTGGTACGTAAACTCATGCAGCAACGGCGCCATGGTATCCATCGCCCTATCCGTGATGATGAGCGTCCCCCGCGGCCGTGGCGGGTCCGAGGGTTTCGGAAAGTCAGGGTTTGCCTTCTTGTACTCGTCCAAGTTTTGCTGGACCATGAACGCCAGGATCTTCGAAATGTAATCGCCTTCTACGCTCTCGTACGCACGCGCCTGGTCCCCTCGCGCTAGGTTGGTCCGCCATCGCCCACTGCCTTCTGGCGGGGGAGGTGGTCGCGTGCTTGCGTGCGGCTTCAGAGGTCCAAGAGGCTGGTGGTGCGAAGGTAGGTAGTAGCGGACGTAGGGATATTCGTTTAGCGTCAGACAGACGTTCGAGATCTAATAAGTGCGGTTCAGCAAGTTGCCAGGTACACGGGTAGCTGCCCGAATACCAACCATCTTGCTCATGAACCGAAGCTCTTCGTCTAGCCGGTCGCGCATAGGCTTAAACGACGTCTCACTTCGTGGCGGGCTGTAGATGTTGAAAAATGACCCCGGATTACGAACAGTGAATGCCTGTCCCTCAATCGCTAGATGCTCGCCAATTAGTCTTGTAAGTATACCGCAACATACACACCGACGTACCCCAGAAGTTAATGAATAGCTCTTGCAACGCCTTCAGGTATGGCTCGGCGGGCGAAGACGTCAAACGCTCAAATAGGTGCTCCGGCAGGCCTTCCCACCAATGTCAGATGCCGCATACGTAGGCCCGGCTGGGGGCATGGATCTATGCCACAGCCGCATCGCGCAGCTTGGTCGACAGTGTAACACACAGGCTCTAGAGTGGTGTACATTCGCAAGTCACGCATGCGGCTATACCGTAGGTCTATGCCCCGCCGTATGAACAGACAGAAGCCACATACCGTCAACGAAGAACAGATGCGCCGCGGAGTACTGTTGTTGGCCATTGGAGAAGTCTCGGATAATCCTGTCCACGTTCTGAGAAGTGGACATGACGAGGTATATCGCCTCAAATTGCTGAGGCTCGCGGTTGCTCGTGATGGACTCGATCACTGGAGGGAAAGACAGGCGAAGACCAGGATACAAGACAAGGGCGGTTCATGGCAAAGTGGCGCATGTCGGAGGTCAACCAAGTCGTCCGGAGCAGCAACGTTGAGAAGGAACATCGCGAGATAGAAGAGTACGGTGTATGATTGGCACATGCAGCAAGCGCGTCGTTAAGCGTTTATGAGCGCACGAGAGATGCACGAGGGGGACATACGCGTGACATTCTCTTCCAATATATCGAACTGCTTCAAGACCGACCCAATCAGGCGCTGCGAGTGCTCGTCCACGACGAGGATCTTCCATCGCCCAGGCGGATTCACAGACCGGATCGCCTCCAAGAACTCTGTCGATCATTAAGGCCGCACCCAGTCAGATTCTCATACTGGTCTCCACGCTCCCGAGCGCGAGAGAACGCATGAACGCAGACGCACTGGACCTGACGGTGTTGATAAGCGACGACATCGGTGGTGTCCGAGGCGCTGCAGAACGCTAGAGTCGACGGCGAGCGAGAAGAGCTGATAGACACAAGAATGTTGAGAGATTGAGGTAAGGCCAGCTCGCGAGGTATATGTTATGGACGAGGGGACAGTGCGGAAGGTGGCAGTACTCGCCCATCGCATCCGGCGATCTGCGCTCGTCAATGGCGCTTACTCCATGGTCCGCTCGCCCCGGTTTCGCATCGAACCTCCGAGTCAGGCCATCCTTCCTTGGTCTGTTGTCTGATCAATCGTACTTCGCGTCTTCTTTTACGGTAGGATTCGAGAGCAGTGTATACAATTCGAAGGGCCGTACCAAATCCCCTCAGAGACCGCTTGTCACAATCGCACTCCGACCATACCACATGAATTAGGAATGAATACTGTATTGGATCTCGACGTATATACCAGATAGTCGAGGTCCATGGTATATTGGCTTCTTCTGTATCAAGTCTAAAACAGTAGCTATAGCCGTGTGTAGTAGCTTGTAGTAATGGCTGCGAGCCAGGCCCACATTCCTGACGACGACGACACCTTTTACAAAAAGCCCGCGAAGACCGCAGCGACAGCAGCGGCGACGACGCCCGCAAACACCGTCGAGGGCAACCGCAGGCCCGCAGCACCGTTGTCGCTCGCGGCCCCAGTTGTGTTGCCCGACGCCTTCGACCCGCTCGCTCCCGTTGACTTGGTCCCAGAGCTGGACTTGGACCCGGAGCTGGTCGATGTCGAAGACGAGTTGGACGAGCTGCTCGAGTTGGAGTTGACTATGTCCGTCGTGGCCGTCTCCTTATACAAGTCGTTGGGCGCGAAATTCATGCAGCGGCCGATGGACTCGAGCTATGCACATCAAGACAATATTAGCGTTTCCGAGGACTCCATACGCACGTCTGAGACAACACCGCTCACCTTGAACGCGGGGTTGTGCGACTGCGCAGCATCGAGGGTGTAACCAACGGCGAGGTCGACGGTGATCTCGAATAGATCGTGCTCAAGGACGATGAAACTATCCCAGACGCATCAGCCTTTTTCATCTCACCGGCTTATCTATGGCAATGACACCCACCCGGTGTCAATGAGAGTCGCGTTGCCGAGCAAGCTCTCGAAGATGCCGAGCTGCTCGACGCCGGTGTGCAGGCCACCAGCGACACGCCAGTCATTGGTGTCGAAGGGACCGCCAGGGCCGGTCGTCCAAATGATCGGGCGGAGACCCATGGCGTTCGAGATCGCACGAACACGGTTGTCTGGCCATAGCGACGTAGATCAGCAACCAATGCGCCGGGTTCGTGAAGCTACTACTCACCGATATCGCCGAAGGGCGCGCGCATGGTGGTCGGGGTGACACCGAGCACGGCCTGGATAGCCTTGCGAGTCCAGCCGAGTTCAGCAACGATTTGCTCATTGGTCATCGCGGTGAGGGGCTGATAGATGGGCAGTCAGGAACCGCTAAATCCATTGCATGTCGGGTCGGAACCTACGTGGTGCGACCAGGTGTGAACGGAAATCTCGTGGCCAGCCATGTACTCTGCGATGAGGATCTGAGGGAACGAGACCACACGCGAGCCAACAACGAAGAACGTCGCGCTAAGCTTGTGGTCGCCCAAGTAGTTGAGGAGCTTCCTGTATCAAAATGTCAGACACCCCAATCTGATCATCCGACTTCTGCGGCTTACGGAGCTGAAGCCAAAAATCAGTACTCGGTCACACGACGAATCATGAATAGACAATTTACTGTATGGGGCCGGACCGTCGTCAAAACTGACACCCCAAGTGAGCTTGTCAGGGCACGCGACGATATCGTTGCCAGACGTATAACCACCGCACGTCCACCAGCCACGCTGCTGGGCCTGCGCGGCGGCCTGTGCGTCGTTCGCGCAGCTACCGTCGACCGTAGGGGTGATGTTGGGAATGTCGACCCCGTCGAGCTCCTTCATCCACTCTTGCACCTCGGCAGAATCTGCAACACTGTCGATGAGCGCCGCTCGGCAGACGCGAAGCGACAAACGCCTGAAAAACGAAGACGAGACACGTACCGGTAGGCGGGATTACGTCCAAAGCTGGCCAGTCGGCCGCGTTGAACACGACTTTCGACGTTGGGTGTCAGCAAAAAATACGTCGACATGCGACATGGCAAGACATTCGAGGCACGTACAGGCAGAAGGCAACGGGGGTGCGCCCGACAGGCTCGGGACGGCGCCGGGGGTAAAGGTTGTCGCGAGCGTCGGGGTCGGACCAGCGGGCATGCCCGACGTAATACTCGCCAGAGGAGGTACAGTGTAACTGCCGGTGCCCACGGCACCAGCAGCAGCGGGCGATGAAGGGGCGGCGGCGGCAGCCAGGCGTTTGTGCAGTTGGGCGTGGTCGTCGTGGCCGTGAGCGTTGACGAGGTCGAAAGAGAGCGAAGCAGCCAAAAGAGCGGACAGCGCAGAGACGGGCAGCATGATGGGTGCTGTTTGTTGAGGTCAAGCCGCAGAGGGCGCAACTCACAATGCGACGTAGGGAGTGGAAGTATGTAGCAGATGCCAGATGGCAGGTTGGGAACAAGAGGGGTCGCAACGGATGGCTTGGCAAGGATATTGGGCGTCTCGACTAATCTGCCGACATGCGGTTAGCATCGCGCGTAACAATTCGCGGCGGAATGTTGTACAAATGGGCGATCCCTTGACATTTTGGCGTTATTTTCCATTTATAGGGTAAATCCTGTGTTACAAAGAGCATCGACGTCAGCGTCTAGTAAATTAGACTATTCAACACGAGAAATACATGCAACCCCACGACCGCAGGGTCTCTGTTGTATGACACGCAAAGTGGAGTATCCGCGGTCCGCTCCTTGATGGGCGAGGAGAGCACCCTGCGACGGGGGGTGGGGATTTGGACTCGCAAAATTCCTGCAAGACCTCCGTCGCAATCGTTGGACGACTTGTAAATTGTCGAAATTGTCTCTTGTCTTGTCGTCGGGGATACTGGCCAGGCACGATCGGCATCGCGCACATGGAGATGGATGTCAAAATTCCGGCGGCACCGGAGTCGAGTCAGTGCAATACAAACATCAGTTTGCAGAAGGTTTCGTCGCAGGCGACCGCCCAGACCTCGCTGGGCTTCTGATGGGAGTCTTCTGCATTCTCTTGAGCATGCATTTCCCAAATCCTCCCATATCTGTATTCCCGAAGGCGGGATTGGTCGAAGTCGAAAAGGCCTCTCAAAAGCATGACGCCCAGATCGATCACAGACACCTTGGTGTGGGCGATGATTTCAACGAGTTGAGATTTGCCAGCAGGGTACACAAGATAGAAGGAACAGAGATACAGTGGATGCTAATTCCGCAGCAGGGGTATTTATGGGTAGGCGAAAATAGACCCTGCTTCCCCACGAAGTTGCCATAACAAGGGCTGACAGCGTGCAGACAGCTGCAGAACACCTTCCGAGTCCTTCGGTCGACATCACGGAACCTGTTTGCCTGAACAATGACAAATTAGACGGTCGCCTTATTGAGCGACGTTCCGACATTCGGGAAATATGTACCAATTGAGCACGAGTATGCGTTACAAAAGACCCACTATACCGAATCGTACTGATGTACATTTCGTCAAGTTCTTGTAAGTCGTGCAAATCCCGGTTTGACTTTACTGCAACTTCTTTTCTCCCCGAGAACCGACCTCGCTGTCGATAATGTTCGCTTTCGCCTCGAGCTCTGCCGCCCAGAGCGCCGCACCGACAGTGTTCGTGAAGCTGAAGAGCAACCCGATAAGAGGCACAAAGTTCAGCAGCAGCGTCATCATACCAAAGCTACGACGAGACCCCAGTCAGCTGCGCACTCGACCAAGCATACACGGAAAGGTGACGTACGCAGTATAGGCTGCCCTGCGGCTCTCGACGAACGCCGCACGCTCACTCTTCGACAAACCTTTCAAGTCGAAGTAGCGCGAGTGCCAGCCCGGCCCCGCCCTGTGTCCGTTGTAGAGGAGGAACAGGACGGTGCCCGCGACAGGGATGAAGTTCAGCGGGAGAGATAGGGCGTAGCGAATCAGACCATCTGAGGACAGGGCCTGCAAGGGCTTCACCAACTGGCTTCCCACATTCCGTGCCGTCGCAGATGCATCGCGCGTCTTCGCCGCCTGCACGAGCTGCGTCTGTCCTTGCGAAGCGAGCGTTGCGTCGAACACGCGCGTTAGGGCGGGCTCGAGGAAGAGGGCCCGCGCGAAGAGGGAGATTAGGATGACAGCCTCCGCGCCGACGAGAACGACAGCGAAGATGGGGGAGAGAGGGCCTGTGAATACGGCAAGGATAGCCATCTGCGGGACGAATGTGAAGGAGGCCAGTACGACGAATATTACGATGGAGGTGACGAGGGACTTCAGGATAACATGGCGGACTGAAAGGATGATTTGAGGGTCTGCGATATCAGCTCCGTAAGTGTTTCCGACATTCAGGATGCCAGGGTGAATCGACTTACGGGTTATGGAGTACACCACCCCGCGTATGGGCCATAGCCATGAAAACGAAGAGAAGGCTGCCCAGGCATGCGAACCCGTCTCCTGCGCTTCATGTTGCAGTTTCTCTAGGATGCCATGCGATTGTGAGGCTGCTTGGTGTTTACGATGTTGTAGAGAGGACTCTGCACGAGATTTCTGTGATGCGCTCGCTGTCTGAGACATCCTGGTAGAGTACACAGACTGTGCTCCATGGTGACGGCAGCTAAATGCAAGTTCGAGGATGGGCGCTCGCGACCCCGGACGCCACTTCGAGACATTGGCGCCTCCAACAATTCGTCGATGACGCATTGCACGTCACCTCCGAAAGCATCGGGGTTTGTATAGAACGGCGTGGTGCGGAAGCGGCCTCCATAAATGCCCGTACAACGGCCTCCAAGCACAGAACTGAACATACCTAGCCAAGACATTTGCGGCGTTTCTAGCATAGTACAATCTCGCTGCACATCGAGCAACCGGGAGACATGAAGTAGGTATACAACAGTGACCTACTAGGGCCTGGCTAATCTGCCAGAGTCGACCGTGGTCATTACCTTGGGCAATTTCGCTAGAAGTAGTCGTCCGGCCTAATCGAGGCTCCAAGCGATCCGACGACGCACTCAACGACATGCACAAATATGATGGAACTGAGACGTAGAGCACGCTGTATGGCATTAAATGCATGGGGTATCAGAGGATGCGATATGCGGAATGTATAAGCGTATGTTGGGGTTGTGCGCAAAGAGATACCGGCAGTGAAGAGATGAGAGAAGTCTTCCAACCGCTTTGTGGCAAGCCTAGTGTGGACGACAGAGACGAAGAGCGGGTGTCTAAGCCGCCTTTACTTGCTCCTCTAGCCACTCCCACAGCCGGCGAGCAAGATCCTCGTCGTACGCCTCCTTGTTGTAGACCTCCGCCTCGCGAGCCCAGGGGATCAAGTACTGAGCAAGGCTTTGTCAACACGATGGCTTCTCAGGATAGACGTCATACCCTTACGCACCTTTCCATTCAGCTTCAAGCCCTCCGGCGTAGTTCCCGCATACAGCGGCGTAAGCGCACCCATCGCCGGTGGGTAGTACACCGATTCCTACAACACGCTGGCCCGTGAGCAGTCGCACCGCAGGACTGGCACAGCATACACACCAACGCCGCCCTCTTCACGAAGTTCGTGTGCCTCAGCAGGTCCGTCTTCAGAATGCCCGGGTGCAGCGTCACGCTCACGATCCCCTGCTCCCCGTACCTCCGCGCGAGCTCGAACGCGACGAGGATGTCCCCAAGCTTACTCTGCTGGTACAGGACCTCGGTGCTCTGTTTCCGGCGCGCGGGGCCGTCCTTGAGCGTGTCGAAGTTGATGTGCCCGATGTACGCGTAGGGGGAGGTGGTCGTGATCACGCGCGCATGGCCGTCGCCGGAGGACTCCTTGCCCTTGAGCAGCGCGGGCAGGAGAAGTTTCGTCAGGAGGAAGTGCCCGAGGACGTTCGTCCCGAACTGCAGGTCGTACCCGTCAGCGGTGACGTCCTCCACGGGAGACCACATCACGCCCCTGCGCGTGCGCGCGAGCCTCAGCTTGAGGGCAGCCCGGAGATCTGGAACGTACTCACGCGTTGTTGAAGAGCGTATGAAGTGCAGTCTCCTTTGCGAGGAAGTCCTCTGCTGCTTTCCTTACCGACGCGATATTGCCGAGGTCGAGATGCAGAAAATGCGCCTCCTTCCCGGTCTCCTTCTTCAGCCGCTCAATGGCGGCGGTGGCCTTTTCCTCGCTCCGTGCGGCTAAGTATACCTTTGCATTGTGTCTCAGCAGCTCCTTAACGATCTCGTAGCCGACCCCGGTATTACCGCCTATGCGCGTGTCAGAGTACCACCGCAAACGCGCGCGCGCGCCTTTGAGCCATGAATACACACCGGTGACGAGTGTAACCTTCCCTGTCAGGTCAGGAATCTGGTCTGGGCTGAATGTCGCTTTGGGCGGGAGTAGGGACTGCTGAAGCAGCTTCAGCTGGCCCTTGATGTTAAAGAGAAGCTCCGCCATAGCGGTCTGCCCAGGATAGACGAGAAGGATAGGCGAACAGTTGAGCGGAGAACTGGCTTGTCGACGGTAACGTTGACTTTTGATAGCGGGGCGGAGGATGCGGGGTCGAAGTCGAGGGATGGGTGAGCTGCGTACTTGAAGCAGGGCCATCATATTATTGCAAACGCGTTAGCCCACGGTGTACTACTTACTATGTAGTACTCATCGTACGCTGATGGCGAAAACCTCGCTACACTAACAGAGCGTGGCACACCATTACGCGAGGTGATCTCAAGGCGTGTGAGTGCTGATCACTACACGACCTATCGAGCACAACGCAAAGCGATCGGTATGTAGCAGCGTGATGTCGGTCAACACGGCGACAGTTCGCAGTCGAGCTGGCAGCGCATCGTGACGATCAACGTTCGGGTGCCTCCGAGCTTTGCGCCCATAAGCATATGATTATGAATGGCTAGCTGAGAAGAGAAAATGAGGTGCGGGGAAGGAGGATGGAGAGACCGAGCAGCCGCCGGCGAGACTCACCGGGGGAGACGTCCTAACCCCACGCGCCGCGGCCTGTTCGCCATTGTCTGACTTGGAGACTGGAACATGCGGTGCACAAGGATACCAGCAACATCAGAGTACTTGCCGTTCCATCTATGGGCGGTTCGAAAGACAGCGTGTTCGACGGTCGACCACACTACAGCGCCTTGCATAAGTCCGTGAACGCGCGGGATTTTTTCTCTCCGGCGTCTACCCTACCCGACCTGCCTAAACAGGCCACATCATGGTCACAGGCCCAGACACGACGGGCAGCGCTCGGGATCCCTTCGCGTGAAACGGAGGTTTGTTTTCGGGACAGTCGTAACTTGTCCCTTTGCCGACGCGTGCCAAAGGACGCTGAAGGGTCGGCAATGGGAAAGTTGTACTTGCTCAGAGGTTCTACAGCCCTTTGACAAAGAACGATTTGAGGCGGTGCCCGTAGTGAGAGCATGATCATGTATATGCGACTGCACCTTTACTATGGTACCTCCTGTTTAGATCAGGGTACAGGATCCCCTGGGGGCCAATGGGCACTCAAATACAGACATGGAAGTACCGCACGCATATCCATACTTCAAAACATTGTGGATTTACCTGGGTACGCGTGTGGTCAACCAACGGGGCCGTGATGCGCTGTCATGGAGTAGTCCCTGTGACCGTGATATGGCCTGTTTAGGCAGGTCGGGTGGTTTAGACGCCGGAGAGAAAAAAATCCGCGCGTTCACGGACTTATGCAAGGCGCTGTAAGTACAATTTGAGTTGGACGGCTGCGCATGGGAACAGACGACCAAGAACGAGCGTTGCATCTTGAAGCTGGCCCTGTTGGCTCTAACACAATGGGCAAAAGGGCCTGGCCGGGAATTGAACCCGGGACCTCCTCCAAATGCCTCGAAGCCCTAAGAAGGAATCATACTACTAGACCACCAGGCCAATGTGTTTGCCCCCCTCTCAGAATATCTCGACGCTGGAACATCAACGATTGTAGTCGCTCCTTCAGCCCAACGTCAGCCAGTCAAGCTCATCAAGTCACGTTTGGTACGCAAACGATGACTGCCATGCTGTCGTGTTCGTGATCGATGCAGAGGACCGCGAACGCCTGAGTGAAGGCTGAGAAATGCTTGGTGTGTACCCGTCTCCTTCCATTCGCACTTCAGATGTCGATGGTGAGCAACGGACATAAGATTCCGTATTGTCCGCGCCTCACATCAATGGTGTCTTCGATGCAGAACATGCAAGAGTCAGACAATGTTGCACACGCACGATCGGAGCGAGCCGAGCCGACTGGGACTGTAAGGTCGGTCTGTTCTCATTGTCAGGTTCACAAACGTCAACAAGAAGTTCAATTTCGACTCCACGGAAGCCTGTATAGGTCGATCCTTTCTCAACCTCGCGTGTCCGTTGCTCAGTACTGTATGTCATGGACTTATCAACCGCAGACCACAAAGTTCGAGGACGAAGCGTACTGCCTCCTACGAATGTTCGATGTCAACATGATGCTCATCTACGAAGAAGGGCGGAACGCTTCATTCGCCTCCAGCAGTCCATCTAGGCCCAGGACTCCGTTCGACAGTCTCTTCTCCATTACTACTCCTCTATCAGCTCTTACTATGCCTTCTATCCTCCAGCATCCTGATAGCAGAAACTCTGAATCATACCTGCTTGCATCGCCCCCTCAATTATTTGGCAGCCCATGTTGCTTCCTCCAGAATGACAGCTTGGTCTTGCAAGACTGGTACTATGCCTACTGACCCCTAATCAGATCTTGTAACCCGTCCTCGAAACCGCGGGCGAACTCTTCAGCGAAGCTCTTCTCGACCGCACTGGTTCCCCACGTGACTAAGATCCCAAGGCCCCCCTCCGGCGAGCCAGTAACGTTCAATTTCAGTGCTGCGCCGAGGGTTGCGTCGCCCTGTGAAATCAGTGTGTCGCTGATCGTCCATGCCCCCTCAACGCCTTTCGGGCGCTTCGGATTGAATGTCCCTAGGTTCGAGATGGTAAGGCCTGCTGAGCGTTTCTTGCCGAGGTGTCCACGGAAGTACTCCTCGTAACGACCGAAGAGGAACTGCAACATCCCAATGATCGGGCCGGTATGCAGGAGCTCCTCCCTGAGGAACTCGGTGTGCCTCTTGGCTGCATTCCAAGGGAAGGATTTCGCGTCCGTGCCCGCACTGGCAGGAAGCAGATCCTGCGGCTCCTGACTGTGCGAGAAATGGACACACATCGCGGTCTCGGGCGCGCCGGTATACCTGCGCATCGAGATCGGATAGCTGGTTACAATCTTCTGGTACTTCTCTCCCTCTCCGTTCGGCAGCGCGCGGATGAGCCTTGACAGCACGACGAATGCGAGGGTGTGCAGGGTAGCGGTGAGCGTCGCCTGGCGTTCGCGCGAGAGCTTGAGGAGCGTGGTGGCATCTTCAGCAGAGTAGCGCAGGATGCGAACGTTGACTTCGGGCGTGATCACGGTTGGGATGGGATTTCCGCTCCAAACGCACTTTCTATCCCAGGAAAAGAGAAAAGGGAGGTACGTCTCCAATACGACGCGGATGAACATGAAGAAGGGGATGGCGAGTTGACGGGGCGCGGCTTCTTCGAGGGACGGCGTCAGCGGGAGGTTTTGGGGTAGGTCTGTGACAAGGCCCGAGTGCTCGGAGGGTATGTCTTCATCCTTGAGGCTGTTTAGCGCGTGGAATAGCGCGTTGTGGAAAGCGAGGCCGCTCTGACCGTCACCGATGGTATGGTTGAATGCGAAGACAACCGTCCCGTCGCGGAGTACATATAACTTCCACCAGGGCACGTCCTCCGAAAACTCCATTGGCGTGATACAGATTTCTTCATAGATCGCCTTCAGGTCGTCGCGATTTCTGTCGAGCCATATCACCACCTTGGTTAGATCGACGGAGGGCAGGCGTTGCCATATAGGAGGCTCAGAGGGCGGCGGCAAGCGCGCGTGCAACGCAGCCAAGCTGCGCACAACCTCGCCGAGCGCCGTAAACAAGACCGGTTTGCTGACGATGTTTAGCGAAGGGTGCTCATAGCGCGCAGAGACGATGACCCATTGGGTGATACCTATGCGGCTGGCGACGTTGTAGTATTGCTCAAGTTCCCCTAAGACGCGGTCAGGAATATTTCCGTGATAGTAGATAGGAAACCGTACCTGCTCTGCGAATGGGCGTTGTGGGCTTAGAGTCCACCGTCTTATCGTTGAATGCCATTCGAGCACACTATCGTTAGATTTAGTTGTGAGCGGAGTAGAGGGATAGAAATGAGACCCGTTTGTCTTGGACTGCGGGCTCGTGATAATTCACACGAATCTAAGAACGACATTCACCATCGGCATAATCATTGCCGAACAGTAGAGTCACTATGATCTTGCTGCCCGGCCAACCTGGAGCGAAGCAGATTACAGGGTGTGCGCTGACTAAGTTGCGTAGGAAGACTCTGATCCATTACCGGCTGCACCTCCGTACTGGCCTCCTGCGGCCGTCATGACAGCGAGGACTCGTATACACACACGCATTTTGTTGTAACATCAGGACAAGTGCTTGGAAGCGAAATGATGTCTTGTGTACTATGACTTGCTAATGCTAGCTGCATCCACACATGTGTATTGACTGAGAATCAGATGACGGATAACGGACGTACTGTCCAGAATTCCCCAAGACCCCAAAGCATCCGAACAAGTCTTGCACATTACAACTTCGCCTTCTGTGTGGCGCTCTGACTAGCGAACAGGTCATATATGTCCCTCGCCGCGCGCTGGAGCTCCTCGCAAAACTCGTCATTCGGCATCTCCGTGCGGCTCGTGACCGTGAACTGCAGGAAGTCGTCGAACCCGGTCGTGTACGCAACGCCAAACCCGTCGGGCACGACCTCGCCCCAGCCGTACGGCCCGAAGTTCTTCGCGTTGATCGCGGATGTGCTGAGCACCCAGTACGACGAGCGCTTCACGACCGGGTTCGAGAACACCTCTGGCACCTGCTCGCCCTCACGCACCAGCAGCTTCAGCCCGAGCAAGTGGCGGTCCACCCCGTGCGCGTTGCCCGCCGCCCGCGCGTACGTCCCGTGCGTCTTGATCGCTTCTGCGAACAGCTGCACTCTCCGCCTCGCATCCGCGGCGGGATCGTCCATGCTTGCGACCCAACGGTCGCTCTGCTCGCTCACGACCCGGATCGCCTCTGTGCGCCCCTTGAGGAACTTGCGCACGCTCGCGGCCTCGTACGTGCCCCCGTTGCGCTTCCAGCCTTTGGCCTTGAGCAGGCGTGCGTACGCGAGCTGGATAATAAGCTGCGTCCAGCCATCGGGGGACACGCCGAATGCCTTCACAGCGGCCTTACCGTAGGGCGTGCGGACGACTTGGAGGGTCTGCGAGGAGATGAGCGCCACCGCGGCTTCGGTTGCCGAGTCGATCGCTTTCTGTATCTCGGGGCTGACGTTCCAGTCGAGCGGTTCCGGAAGCTGCTTCGCGCGCAGAGTAGATTGTTCGGACGAGTTGGCGGTGGTGGCGAAGTCGGGCGCTGCGATGAGGTCCAAAACGCGGTCGCACATCGTCGCAGTGGGCGTGCCGTCCATGACGGAGTGCTCTCCGACTAGGCCCGCCTTGCCGTCCGCAAGCACGACGAACTGCAAGGGCTTGTCCATCCAGCGGTTGCGAAGACCGAGCTGCGGCTGTGCATGCGAGATGCCGGGCTGAGGAGGGGGAACGACCGCGCCGTGCCAGAGGAGGCGTGAGTGCTCGACAAAAGAGGAGGCGGACTCTGTGTCGAGGGAAAGGACGAAGGCGGAGGAGTGGATCTGGGTCAGTATGTGCGCGTTATGAGGATCTGCAGCGAGCGTTTGGAAGTCCTGCGAGAAGGGGACATGAATCGGAGAGGTAGGAAGAACGCCCAGTGCAGACTCACCTTTGCCCAGACGTCGCGATTGGAAGCGGTCAGTACGCCGACGCCGGGGTACTCCTTGTTGGTGTTGTCGTATATATGTTGTATTTGCCTGCGCCAAGGGCGTCAGCCAGTACGCGCGGGACAATATGCGGACATCCATACCTCTGGAGTTCGTCGAGAGACAAGAGTTTGCCATCTTGCCAAGGTTCAAGCTTCCATACACGTCCACGGTGTAACACAACGACGTGCCCAGACCGCCCGTTGTCCCCCTCCTTCGCATGGCTCACAGCCCAATCGAGCCCTGCTCCGGGGATGCGGCAGCAATCGAACATCCACCTGGGCAGGTACTATGAAGTTGAATTGTTGAGGGCAACAGAGTCTTGGTTACGAAACGTACCTCCATGTGTCCATGCAAATGGGACCCTCCTTCGTCGCCTCCGGAGGTATCTGACCAAGTTTGAACTGCTCGCGAAACGCCATAACGGCACGCACAAGGGACGCGGCGCGGTGCACCGGCGTTTGTGGGAGGCTTGACGGATGCTCCTTGAATCCATCTGGCGGGTGAAGGAGGCTCGCGCTCGGAACAATCTATCTATCGAGCCCACTGTTCCACGTACAGTAATAAGAAACGTTCACCACGACCTAGGTTGTAATACGAATTGAGATTCATATGCAACCGTATTAATCCAGTGTACTACTCACCGAATCGCGGTACCCCATGTATGCTAAATCATCCCACCATTCTTCCAACCAATGTACTCTCCCTGGTTCCTGGCTTCGCTTCTGCAACCTGTCCTGGAGCTCGCGCGCGTACGGGCTTGACCCAAACTCATCCACCGCCTTGACGGCGTCCGCATACTCCTGCTCAGACCACGCGATAGGCTTGAGGGTCTCCTTGAGCTTCGTGAGTGTTTCTGAGAGTGCAGGGACGGGGAGGCGGGGCAGGTTTGCTTGAGCCGCGAAGGTCGGGCCGGGGAGGGGCGGGGGCGCGAGAGCCTTCCAATTTGCCGGCCGCGTCGTGCTGAAGGGCGTTGTAGACATTGCGCGCGACGCAGACCAGACAAGACGGGGTAGCCTGGGGAGCCTTGAGGAAATCATGGAGGTGTGGGGAAGGCTGCGGGGTATAGCTTGTTATACGAGGCGTTTCACTGGCCATCCGGCTACCGCTACGCCGCGCTACGGGCGTTCACTGCGATGCATGTGAATTTTGGCCCGGGCTACTCGTACTACTTAGCCTCGTTACCTCCAACCATCTGAACCTTTTTGCAAGTGCTTCACCACCTACAATTCAGGATCGGAGGAAGCAATTGAAAACCGGTATGAGTAACTCGCCTATGTTGAACATCACTGCTTCTCTACAGCGGTATAAAGACAAAAACAGTATGGCAATGTTTTGTCTCGATTCGAAGCAGGTGCAGCTCAATGAGGTACTGCAATCGACTGTCTTTAACCAGGTACTACTTGGTGTTGACGTTGACACGCTGCGTGCGTTTCGACATAACAAGATAATTCGATACAGGCCAAGTGTACATTACAGACAGCTCTAAATGATCCTACAGCAACCGTTGTGGCGATTCGCGACTGGAATCAGCGCACGGCCTCAGACCGGCGGTTCAAACAGCGCCGTCATCCTTCACTGGGTATGGATCAGGAGGAGCATCAGCAGGTACATATGTGTCACCAATTGGTTCCACTAACAAAGGGTGCGGGATCCGGACAACTCTCCTCTTTCATGTCCGTTATACCTCTTCATTCGTCTGCGCGGTAGCTGCTGTCTTCCGAGTCGCCTTTCGCTGGAAGATAATCTTCTGGCTCAATTATGGCCCCGATTGATCCAACGACTCGCTCAAAGACTAGCGAGCTGTTCTGAGACGCCGTCAACGCCTCCGAAGTATCCATACCAGCGAGCGCCCGGAGGTTTGCCGATTGCAGATGCAGGAGGAAGCGGGAGAGGCAGATGGCGAATAGTCTAAGCGGCCGCAGTCCGGGAGAGGTGTAGTATCAATAAAAGACTATCATCGGTGACAGAGTCGTGCACATACGGGGTTGTGAAGTAGGTCACATCGCTTAGTGAGCCTTGTAGCAACGTCGCGTCCAGCTACCATAACCCACTGCGTCAGTGTCCTGATGCCAGCATTATGAGACAGAGTGCGGACTCACCGAGAGCAGTGTGAAAGCCATGTGTACAGAGCTCACAATGGCGAGTACGCTGGAAGAGCCCGTCTGAGATATGGTACACATCAAAAGTGTGCGACTCACAGGAAATAAATAATCCCTGCATTAGAGGCCATCAGTGTCCTGACATGTCGGCACAAAGCACACGCTCACCGTCCAATAGAAGCACCCTAGAAAGTGTCCCTTTCCTTCCGGCCATATGGCGAATACCGTAACCTTGGTGCATCGCGAACCACGTCACACCGATAGCAACGCAGTCCGCTGCTATCTGACAAGAACGGGACACGATGATCACTGTCGTCTTACCTCGTGAGTGACGACCGGATGAAAACGTAGAGATTCAGCCTACATCTGCATATGAAGCGTTCAAAGATCAGTTCCACGATGATTATGGCAGCGAACGAGCAATACATTTTCCTGAAGTTGAACGGGGTCTTGTCCACGGTCAGACACCCGAAGGCCGTGATCTCGCCGTTGACTCCAAATGAGAATCGAGCCTATCAGACCATCCATCATCAATCATATGAGAGCTCGTGCAACGATGTCACATCATGATGAAGAAGAACTTGCAGAGTTCAGCCCCGCGGGTACTGCAGAAATAAGGAATGTCACGAGGGATAGCAGGGAACATCTGCGAAGGGCATGAACACGTAAGCCGGTGAATGCTATCATCATGGCATGGACGTAAGCCGCTGCTGAGCTGCGTTTGGGCACCGAATATGGGAGATGCTTACCTGCCAGGACGATATACAGAGAGATCTCCACAACTCCAGCCCCCCTCGAGGTAGGATCACAGCTACAGAATTTGAGGCAATTCCAGGCTCGCGAAAAAGACAGTTGCTGCGAGTTCCTCTTACCTCTGCCGGAGTGAAGAGCAGTCAGCACGGGTGGAGGGCTACAGAATAGGCCGCACACCTTATTTGGTAGCCCTAGGTAGGTCGCGAGGATCCAAACGAAGTAGAGCATAGCTATGTACTTGTTTAGCCAGAACAGTACGGAGGCACCAGTCACTTTTCGTCCCCAGAAACACCGTATCTCCTCTCCGGTCATTATCACTGAGTCATATATGAAGAGGACTGTAACACCGATTTATCAGCGACGCGGCCCTGAGATTCTCATGACGAGCGAGTCCTGTATACCTGCACCGGCGAGAAAACAATAGTTCTCTCTAAGGCTGTGTATTCAAGCGACTTTGAGTAACGGTATACTTACGTGGACGAATGGGAGGAAAGGACGTACTAGCTGGCAAATTGAGCTACAAGCATGTCGGTTTGCGATGAAGACATGATTGCTGATAGCAGAAGTTACGGAAAAGTGTAGGCGGGACACGATTGGTAGTCGCTGGGACGAGGCATTTGTATGCGTGCTGCTGAGAATTAGAAGCGTTCCCACAAGATGCACAAGGCGTACCTACTGCGCCACATTGCTCGGAACAGTCGAGTGTCAGAGAGGTCTTCTGGCCTATTTTTGTCGCCGTGAGTGGATTACGGCAATACTTCACGAACTGCGGTCTCATGCACGAATCACAGTCTCGAGAAGTTGGTGCCAGCGCCGGACTCATCCGAGTCGGACCTTCGAGAACACGTGACTATTCACTTACTCCAGCAAGTCGCTCTACATACTAGACTTTTCCGACTGGCTAGACAGTCCTGATAATCCTTGAAGTGCGATAGACGAAGCTCGCGTAGCGAAGATGAATTGAGTGTCTCACTTGTTCGGTTCACGAAGTATGATGTTCACTCACCTGACTGTGCGTCCAACCAAGTACGCAGGCGATAGGCCCATCGAAACGCCGCCTGCAAGTTCTCAAACCTTACCCTCACGTCCCCGCGACCGTCTCCACCGTGTTAGATGAACTTGGCTGGCGGCGATTGGGGAGAGCTTGATTGTTGGGAAGAACTTGGCAGCCGGCCTTCTCGCATCATCGGGGCTAGGTATCAAACACAGAATAATTCACATGTCAATCATCGCACAGCGTAGCAAAATTCACGGATGAAGCCTAAAATTTGCACGAAGAGACTGTAAATAGGGGAGCATGATGACAGTCTTCAAGAAGACCATCGCTCGGGCAATGCGAAAAGCATTACTGAGAAGATGTGGCCTGGAGCTATAAGTAGGCCGGCGGTGGTAAGGGAGAGGTAGGGAAGTGATCTAAGTGGGAGGGACAGACAAGAAGGATGGTTAAGAATGAGCAAAAGGACCTGGCCGGGAACGTACCCTGGGACCTCCTCCGAATACAGCCAAACCCCAAGACTCAAGAATCACACTAGACCGATGTTATCGTAGTTTGCATGCCACTTGTTGGCTGTGGGACTTTCTAGGATCATGACCCCACGTCGAGGCAGGAGAGCTTCCCCCTTCGCAAGCACGTTGATTGCGTTGGAGGGGTAGTACTTACTAGACTAGAGATGGAACTCTAGACACCTTTCGCAAGTGGCAGTCAAATCGCCACAGCCACAGCGGAGTTTGAAAGGGCAGTCTGATCGGTCCGGTATCTGCCCGGTCTTCGGTAATCTGTGGCAAGTCTGAGGTGTCCTAGTTTTTTGTCTTCAGCTTAAGCTCGTCAGCCAACAAACCTGTGTCACATGTAAGTGCGGCACTCAAGATACGGAGCGTACACGTAAAGCTCGTGAGAGCAAGATTCCGGCGTACTCCCGGGTTAGCCCTCTCCAAGTCCGACCAATCTGGTTTCCTACACGCCATCATCACGATTTACACCCATCGAAGTTTGATTGAACTTCCAGGTGCGCATCTTCTCGACGCGCATCCGTAAGCGGAACGTAACGCACTTTCTCCCATCCGTACATTTGTATGCGGGAGAACAGTGTCGGCGGCTCTTACTTCGACCGAAGTAAACACCGCCGATTATGTACTATTCTGCTGTAGCCGATCCAGCCCAGATACAGCGTGTCTTGGTGACTGTGAGTAATCCTAGTCACCAACGTTCAATCCTTGCCTACTCTTAGCCATTGCCGTGCAGACATAGTATTCTCTAGAAAAGATTGAAGCATGCTATCGACCTGGAGAGAGATGTGTTAAACGAAGACTGCTAGCCAGGGGTTGGCCTTCGTCCACAAGCATCCGACTGCTAGTGTTTCACATCACGCCGCCCACACTTCTGGACGTTGATGCTGAGGCCGCATTCACACATGTAAATTTCCAATGCTTTATCACCGCGCTCTTCCTCTGGCGTCAGCTACAGACGCTATCGCTGCATGAGGTACGCCGAACCCTGACGGCCCGGGCACGAAATGACGGTTCTGCGAATAGTACATAAAGTGGACCCTCGGCGACATGAGTTCAAGGAAGTCTGTATTCTCCCAACCCCTTCGTTCATACAGCCAGCTCAAAGAGTACAATGACAATCCGCGCCAGCAAGCATGTCGTCGTCTTTCCCATGCAGATGTGGGGTACGCCTCTCAACGTTGTATATATCGAAGGCAATCGAGCTCATCTTACTGCGACACAATCTAGGACATTCCCGCACAATGTGCACTCTCGTCGCACGTATAGTCCGGCTCAGACCTACCTTCATCGTCACGTTCTTTGTTGTTAGCGGCTTCTATGATCGCGTCAAGGGAGAGATAGCTCGTGACTTCTTGCGAGGAGAAGAACATATGCTTTCCCGCATCAGGCGAGTACTGGGTCGTTTTGAATATGGTATCAACGAGCCTGCTCATCTTCGGTCGCACAGGTTAATCGCCCTGCCGCAGGTGGAGGGTGTGCACGACACGAGCAGCGCTGAGGATGCTTTTGAAACTGCTTATCGCAATATAATTGACGACAAATCGCTTACGTGTGCAAATACGGGGACCACATTTGACCCACACCCAGTCCGTCCAACTGTGGCCATTCTGGACGTACGTCCAAATGCTCTCTTTGCCAACCCCATACTGCAGACTGAACGTGATGAACAAGATGTTTGTTGTTCGTGCGTTCGAGATCGTCAAGACGCTCAGCTCGAACACCGTCAAGGTATACACATGGTATCCTGCGGCCACGAAGAGCTTCCACTACTATTTCGCCGAAGATCTTGTGCCAGCATGCGAAGCCGAAGCCGCCAGCAGGGGCATGTCCTTCAATGATGTGGCATATGAGGTGACGATCCTTCAAGTGGTTGTGTACGGCTGCTCTGACTTTGGAGAACCTGCAGCGTTTCAGCAACTTCACCGGTAGGGTAGTCCGGACCCCTTGTGCCCCGACCATGCACGATTGGGAGTACAATCCTCAAGCAGTATGTCCCCCTTCCAATGTGCACCGCCTCGGCACCAAAATCAATGATATCATCATATCAGACACGTTCTCCGCGGGAGTTTATCGGAAACATCCTCATCAAGGTCGGCGGGTACGTCATATATTCGGTAGTATCCTGGCTCGTGGGTATTCAGCAGGGTCATCAGGCAAATGAAGCGCACCGACGGCTTCATTACTTTCGATGCTGCAGAATACTGTCCCACGGCGACTGAATCTCTGCGATCTTGGTTCGCAGAGACAGGCCGCAAATGTTACTACGCTGGCCCCTTGGTCCCTCAACAGAAGGAAGAGCCATTGGGCGACCCGCGCTCGTACCAGATAAAGACGTTCTTGGACCAGGAACTCGCCTCGCATGGCGAGAAGTCTGTCATCTACGTACGTCACCGTAGGGTATCGCCCAGCCAAGGACGGAGATCCTGACGAATATGCACGGTAGATTTCCTTCGGCTCGATGTTCTGGCCGACGGAACCAGAGAAACTGTGGGCTGTGTTTGATGTGCTTATGGAGAGGCATATTCCCTTTGTGCGTCCCCACTTCTATCCTTAAAAGGCGGCGCTCTGCTGAAATTAGTAATGTACATCGCAGATCCTCAGCACAAGCGCTGTCTTCGCGAAGACGCCTCCTCCCGAGGTGCAGGAGAAGGTAGCTCAGTATGGCGATGCTATGATAACCGATTGGGTGCCCCAGCAGTACCTGCTTGATCATCCCGTACGCAATGTCTCCTGTCTGGCCTTTCTCGAGTGCTTAACAGTTTGCTAGGCAACGGGCTGGTACTTGTCGCACGGTGGACACAACAGCACGCTTGAAACCATTCTCGCCGGAGTTCCGAAGTCTGTAGCTCCTCTCTGTCGTGGTCAGATTTAGACGGCTAACATCCGACACAGTATAGTGTGGCCTGTCTATGCGGACCAGCCTGTGAACGCCATCCACCTGTCCGAGGACCTCGACGTCGCCTACGAGCTCTTCGAGGTCCGTTGTGGCACTGGCTTGGGGCAGATCCTCCGCAACGGTAAAACACCCACCGGGACAGTTGAAGCTGTCAAGGCCGAGATTCACAACGTCCTCGATCACGCATTTGGGGACGACGGCGCCAGGAAACGTGTCAATCTGCAAGCTGTAAGAAAGAAGCTACAGGCAGCTTGGGCGGAAGACGGGATCGCACGCAGGGAGGTCGAGGCTTTCTTGGACGATTTGTAATAGGTAAGCGTGGCGGAGGGGATCCTGTCCACTGTTCACGGACACTGTTCACGGAATATTGCAGACTGGCGCAAACACCACTAGACACTGGGAGCGCGTCAAAGGCAGACATAATATAGAAGTTTAACCCAGCTTTCGGCGAGGGCTGTCTGAGGAAACAGGAACATTTGCAGTGCATTCAAACGATCTTCCAGGGAACATGATTGGAGGATGGGGTCCCCAGCCGGTAAGTATAAGCGTTCCCTGATGAGCCGCTAGATGAACATAGAGATGTTGGCGAAAGAAATACTAGACTCCTGTTATACACGACCGCTAATTAAATCGCTCCGGACTAACCGTCTCGACAATTAACAGGCAAAACTGCTGTTTGCAAGCTTAGCTGCGAGACTCATGTGGCATAATCGAGCAAGGCGGGTCAGGTGCGAGTGGTCATGACAAAGTGAGGCAAGTAGCTGACTCGCTGTCTCGAATGTGACCAGTAAACATGGGAGTTTTGAGAGAATGAAAGGGCCCCAGATGTGCGCCGCCTGGATCCATCAACGCTTCCGCACCTCCTGCGTTACAGGGTGCCGCAGTTGCCAATCGATACCGACTGATTCTAGCCTCTTCCTCAAGCCAGAGTCGTGAGCTTGGAGCAGCTGTACCAGACCTTCGTTATGAGCTTCCTGATTAGCGTAATGCGACTGCCCAGGATGCAGACGATGGAGAAAAATGGCACGTATCATGAAGACTCGATACACAAGACGTATGAGAAGGCGCCCGAGTCGGTTATATCTCCCTCAGACGTGCCAAAAATGACCACCGCAGGGGTCGAACCTGCAATCTCCTGATTACGCATTCGTAGTCAGACGCGTTGCCATTACGCCAGGCGGCCGATATTGGCTAAATTGTAAGTTTTACCTTATACATTTTGCCGAGGCCCTCGACCACGTCAGTGCGACTGCGACTCTGCTGTAAATAACCTGGAGTTGCCTCTTTCGCTCTACTCATCCACAGTGTCAATGTTCATATTTTATCTGAAAGCCTTGAAACTCTACAACGATTCTTGTGTCTATCTTGTTCTGGGTAATAATGGCGCTACCGATTTGCTTTGATTCGGATAACCTTTGCGAGTCGATTTTGCAACGAATACCACTGCATTACTGCCACCATCCATTTTCAAGTTCAAGTCCGACTCGTCCAACTACTGGCCTGTCGCAAGAATATGTGAATGCACTACTCGTCTAGGCGTACGCACAAGTAGAGCCTGAGCGCCTTGCCCTTTCTCATGCAGCCCTGTACACTCTGCTCCTGGCACGGCGGGATCATCTAGTCTTCTACAGCGACCCTGACGACGACGCACGCTATGCTTCCTTCGGTTCGGTGTTATGGCCTGCAGAGCTTGCAAAGTTGCCGGCTATTCTCGACGTCTTCATGGGAAAAGGACAATCCTCTTGTAGGCTGTCGTTTCATTCGCAACAAATTGTTTCAAGCTAATACAGAAACGTCGCAGTTCCTGAGCTCTAGCGCCGTCTTTGCCACTGCGGGTCCGTCGGAAGTACAGGGAAAGGCATCCAAGTACGGCCATGCTCTCTTGATTATACAGGTCCTCCACCAGTGCCCGCTGGACTACTCACTCAGTATCTTTCAACGTCTTACACTTCCTGGCTGTTGAACGTTGAACGGCCTACCGGGCTATGGAGTGGTACCTCTCACATTGAGGCCAAATCCGCACGCCTGAGTCGATTATGGCTGGCGTTTCCTAGTTCGTGGCTACCCGCTGTTATGACTACTGCACCAATCAGCTCACCTCCAATACAACAGCTTTTGGCCCGTCTGGGCGGACCAGTCTGTGAACGTCGTCCATCTCTCTAAGAACCTCGAACTCGCCTACGAAATCCTCGGGGTGCGCTGCGGCACCGGGTCCGGGCAGATCTACTGCAAGCCAAGATGACTTCCGGGGCGTTCGAAGCTGTCAAGGCCGAGATGCCCAGCGTGCTCGCGTCAAGAAGGGCGCCAATCTGCAGGAAGTAGTAGCAGGCGGTTTGGGCGGAAGACGGGATTGGGCACTCGGAGGCCGAGGCTTGTTCGAGCGGCTTGTGATAAGTAGGTTAGTGGTAAAGCAAATCAAGCCTGTTTACTTATGCCTGCGTTTTTTCATCACTCATGCACTGGCTTCCAGTGTCTCCTCGCCAACAAGTAGACCACAGTATATCCTACCGCAATCGCCCGAAATGTGGGACGGACAGTTGTCATATGTACCTGTGCACCTGGCGTCCACTATGCCACTCCGCACACTAGCTACGTAACTCGAGTGCTCGAGTGCCTCAAAGGCCGCTGACGCGCGCGGCCTCAAGATGCGTATGATTCGTCAACCCAGTTGAACTGCGCCAAAGTGCGTCTCTTACCATCCCTTCACTCCCTTGGTAGCGTCCTTGATATGGCCCTAGACCGTTGCACCAGAGCGGCTGTGGATGCGTACGTGAGTGCAACACTTCTCTTCTGATAATCTGCAAGACTCATGTGGCGCCGCAGTGCAACTCCTGCCATCACTCCGCCCGTCTATATATGTTGGCGCACGTTTGTGTTGTACTGCTGTACGGATAGGTCTATATCCGCTTGTACCATCTCTGATGAGCTTCACAGGGTCGAGAATGCAAGCGTTGAGCATTCCTGTCGAGGCGCGACGCCCATGCCCTAACTGTGTATACCGGAAAAGATTTATGGGCGCGTCTACGCATCCATGTTCTGTTAAATACGGCTGCCTCTGTGAACGAGCCACAATCGTCCCATCTGAACTCTCGTTCTCTAACACAATTCTCCAACATTGGGATCAGTTCACGATGACAGTCTCTACTGGGAAACACCTGATAGTCGTCCCAATGCAGATGTGGGGTACGTCCTATTCACTCTCTCATCGTTATGTATTCCAACTAGCAGTGACATTCTAGGGCACACTCGTACGTTATGCACCTTGGTTGCCCGTATGGTCAAGCTACGCAACGTTACCGTCGCCTTCTTTGTGATTACAAGTTTCTATGACTTAGTCATGGCAGAGGTTGCACGCGAGCTCCTTCCGGAAGAGGCGTACCTCTCTTCTCGACTCAGGTTCGAAGCCGGGCATTACCTTGTCAACGTAGTAGACGGACTCACCACCATGGTTGGGCCCACGCAGAGTTGTTGGCCTAGAGCATAATATTATCGACATCATGAGGACCAGCGTCCTAGAGGCTGCCTTCGAAGCCTCCTACGTCAAGATGCTGAACGACGAGCCCCTTACATGTGCTCGAACAGGAGCCCAGATCGTTGCGCACCCCGTTCGTGTCAGCGCCGTCATCCTCGATGTGCGTGATCGTTCCGATTTACCATAGTCTCCGAGCTGGCGAGCTAACACTGCTATAAAGATGTTTCTTCCGGACACATTTCTGTCCATTCGCAAGCATACCTCAGATACCGTGAAGATATACACATGGACTCCTATAGCGACACAAGTGTTCTTCTTCCACCTCACGCAGGACAACATGGGAGCTGTCGAAGCCGAAGCTGAAAGACAAGGAATCACCTTCGAACAGGCTGCAGCTCAGGTAACCTGGGGATCCACCAGTGTGCGGTTGTCGGCCTCCTTATGCAATTCTATTGTAGCTGGCTAAGGTCACGGGCAAGGTTCTGCATACGCCAGTAACCAAACCAGTACATGACTACGAGATCCAGCCCCAGGCGGTATGTCTAGCTCCTTTCTGTGGAAGGGATTGAGTGTGACTTCGAGATTGCCTCTAACAGTTCCCAGTGGAGCTTCTTGGCATTGGAGTGAAGATGTCTAGGATCATGGGAATCACAGATGGGTTCATAACATTCGACGCAGCAGACTACTGTCCCAACACCACCAAGGCGATCAAGGAGTGGTTCGCGCAGACTTCGCGCAAGGCGTACTATGCAGGCCCGTTGATTCCGCAGAGCAAAGAAAACGTCTCAGACGAGTCCCACGCTCAGGAAGTCTTAGCATTCTTGGACAGAAGCCTGGCGTCGCATGGGGAGAAGTCGGTCATATACGTGAGTCGTCCGATATGATATGTCACGTGCGGGATGCTATACCGATGACATTCTTGATCGTAAGGTATCTTTCGGGTCGCTGTTCTGGCCTACGGATCCGAAGAAGCTCCATGCTGTTCTCGGTGTGCTTATGGACAGGAACATACCCTTCGTCAGCGTTTTCCGACTGATTTATGTGAACTCTCGTCACGCTAAATGATGGTAGAATAGGTGATGAGTGAAGCGGCTGTACTGTCCAAGAGATTGCCGAAGGAAGTGCAAGAGAAAGTTGTTCAATACGGGTATGGCTTAGTCTCGAAATGGGTACCTCAGCAGGCTCTGCTTGATCATCCTGTACGTCTCGTCCATGCTATACGGACAGTGCTAAACAAATGACAGGCGACTGGATGGTGTCTCTCGCATGGTGGACACAACAGCACCCTAGAGACGATAATGGCGGGTGTTCCTACGTGAGTAGACCGTTTCATCGGCTTGTCTACTATGCTCTTGTGAATCAGCTATCCCGAACCAGGATCGTCTGGCCCATCATTGCGGACCAGCCCCTGAACGCCACCTATCTTTCTGAAGACCTCGATGTTGCGTACGAGCTGATCGAGGTCCGGAACGGAACAGGGGCCTGCAAGATCTTTCGCAACGGAAGAGTGCCCATCGCGACAATTGACGCCGTCAAGGCGGAGATGGGCGAGATCCTGGACCGAGCATTCGGCGAGGATGGTAGGAGGAAGCGGGAAAACCTACAGCGCCTCCGGAAGACCCTTCAGGAGGCCTGGTCGGAACATGGAGTCGCCAGGCGGGAAGTGGAAGCGTTCTTGGACGACCTCTGATCACGACGGGTGATGATTGGAGCTGCCGGAAAATGGAATGGAGCACGTCTTGGATACCTGTTGTACTCGGCTGCAGTTAAGATCACTTGCAAGGATTCTCTGGAAACTCAAGCTTCTACGCTGCATCGAATTTTCGGAGGAACCGACCTCGCTGTTCTAGCCATTTGTGCACTGCAAGAAGCATGATGAAGCGCTAGCAAGATGGGCCAGTATGCAAGTTGGCATTTTGATGGTCCGATTCGGATACTGGCCTTCCATAGGGGCCAGAGAGGCGTATACACCGCTCGGGATTCGTAACCTGGCTCGCGGCTCCTGTATCGACATCGATAGTCGTTGAGGCACTAGGAGCTTCGCGCTCCCCGAGCCCTGTGCGATGGGCGCTGACTCGGCGCAAGAGCAACGGTGTGCATATCTTAGCCGAAAGGCCCGTTGTATACCTCTGAGAAGATCAATTTCTGTATTCAGGACGAAGGCAAGATGGTCCACCACCGATCATGGCGCGGACCGTCTAGGCATCTCGCCATCTTGACGACAGTCACAGTCGACTGACTGTTCTCGGGCGCCGTGACGTAGCGGCTGAGCAGCTTGTGGCGGCGGTGTCTCTGGAGACTAGCTCTATGTACGAGATCAAAGAATGTATGTTGACCTCAAGTGAGAGACCTGTAGCGTGAGGCATCGCTTAGGGTCACATCGAGTCAATATGTCTGTGTTTGCTCCAAGCACTATGTGCGGTGCATCCTGGGAGACAGAGAGAGAGAGAGAGGAGAAGAGAGAGGATGAGAGAGAGAGAAGTGGCTGACGGCCGACGAGAGTCCCGAAAACTGGCCGAAGGGAGCTTACAGAGTCGGAAGTTCACGGAAAGACAAACCAATCAATGTATGTAAACTCACGAGATCAACTGCCAAAGCCTCGAGCTTTGAGCGAGTAAGTAGTGTCAATGTGCGCCGCCGGGCATCAGAAGGCCCTAAGGTAACGAATAGGACCCGCCACGCCGGTAGTGTAGAGAGATAACGTTCTACCTTGTGGGTAGGCCGCTGGCATGCAACGTAAACGATCTGTTACTACCCCAGCCGCTGGAAGGAAGAGAATCAGCTCAAGAAATTGCGAAGCCACTCACAAACTCCGCGCATCAAGAACGAGGTTGACGTCCCGGCAGTGCATATCCAGACATACCATGATGCCCCATCGTCGACACCGTCGTTACGCTCGAGCGCGGCAGTGCAGCAAAGCCATTCCGAATGAGAGCTAGAGAGCAAGCGGGAGTTCGAATTTGGCCCTAGAACATGAACAAATTTGCAACGGTTTCACGCTTGTCGCAGAGATGAACTTGTGCCTTGGGCCAGTGTCTGGAAAACAGGTCGGCGCGTTTCGTATGATGACCGCCGGGCCGCGCTTCGTGCCTGCAAAACTGTTCTGCAAAAAGGGAGGGCAAATCGCCGGGGATGGGCGCCCTTCGCGATGCTGTGCGCTCTTGGTGCGCCCCGCGACAACGGCCCGTCGTCGTGAAGCCCGTGGCTTCCCGCATGGTTCGTGTTTCAGAAGGAAGCCTGCGGTGCTTGTCGCCATCTGAATCATGCTTGGGATCATGGGCGCGCGTGAGGCGGAGGGGCTTTGATTGTGAACCGTGAACCTTCGAAATCTCGATGGTACTCAATGGCAATGAACGTATGATGGCGAGCCATAACCGTGTTCGCCCGAGCCAACTCTTGTTCGAAGCGCTTGGTATAAAGACGGACGAGGAGCGGCAGGGTTTCACCATCCCCACCTCCTACAGCTAGCTCTACTAAGCTAAGCAGCTACCAGCCACCACAAGCTTCTGCGAACCCGAGCTGTAGAGCAAACCACTCCCACTCGCCCACCACTTACTATCGCTTACCACCGCCGAAAACACCCTACTCTTCTTCCCCTTGCCTGCATAAACATGCCTTCCATGCACATCGACGACTTCGGCCACAACCACGGCCTCCACGTCGTCATCCCCACCACCGAGGCGAGCTCCAGCGTTCCCTCCGCGACGGCCTCCAACGCGAGCGACGGGCCCACCGCGCTCGACACCCCCGGGCACAATCACAACCTCAGCCGCCTCCCCGCGCCCGCAAGCGCACCCCAGTCCGCGCGCGCGCTCGACACGCCCGGGCACAACCACAACCTCGGCTTCCGCTGGCCCCCCTCTGCTGCCGCTGCCGCTGCTTCCGCTGCTGGCGACGAGGCGACGGCGACGCCCACGACCCCGAGGGTGTCCGCGCGCGTCTCGCGGCGGAGCAGCCTGTTCAGCGTGGCCGACGACTCGGAGGCGAAGACGGGGGCGGGGTCGCTATTCAGCGTGGAGAATGGCCTGGGCGAGGTCGTGGGGCACACCCATGTGGTGCTGCCGCCGACGTCGGAGGCGGAGGAGCCGGTGACGGCAGAGCTGCAAGGCAGTTTCCAGCAGCAGATGCACGAGGATGGTGATGGGGACGACCGCGCGGTCGAGGGGGGCAATTGAGCTGCCAGATGGTGGAGAGAGTATGATATCAAAGGGTTTCCTGGGTGGGGGATGCGATTGCGACTGCCTCCAGTTCGTTCTTGAGTCTTGGATTTGAGTCTTGGACTTGACTCGCCCAATGTTGTATCGATAGTACTAACTTATTGTTTTGTATTGGTTTGTGTTGCCACATGGTTTGCCACTGCTATTTGCTATATATTGTACCATTTCTTCATATACCTTGTCCGATTTCCTCGGATCCGGGAAGCGAATAATGGGAAACCGCGCTTGCATTCGAGCGAAAGCGATGAGTAGAATACTAAAAGTGAATATGAGTACAACAATTCTAGATGATACAACAACCCACAAGATCCCGATCAAATCATGAATGCCCAGCAGTCCCGCAGCGATCCTCCAGTTCTTCCTCCTCCTTCCGCAGCCTGTTCATAGTAGCCTCCAGGACTTTCCTGCGACGTTCCTCCGGAGAGTCGCCTGGACTGCTCGCACCGGGCCCGCCAAGGGTGTACGAGCCACCGAGAGCATGCTCCTGCGCCTCCGCTTCGAGCGCGGACTGTGGCGGCCCGAACCCTCCCCCGCCAAGCTGGTGCGCCCCAGCCGCCTGCGCACGCTCGAACTCCGCAACTTCCTTGTTGAGCGTGGAGTTGAGCTCCTTGAACTGCGGCAAAAGCGCCCGTCAGCCGCCACCGCATGCACTACTAGGTCGGCGCAGTACGCACGTTGTTGTCATGATCACCCCAGACGTTGTGCGTGAGCTCGTGGCAGAGCACCCTGCGCACCTCGCTGAAGAGCCTGAAGCCGTCGTACCTGTCGGTCCGCAGCCGGAGCTTGATCGCCTGCCCCGCGTTCACGTTCAGCCCGAGGAGGTGAGGCTGCTCGTGTGGGGCGAGCTCGGTGAGCACCCCCACCGAGAACTGATGCTTGCGCATCACGTGGCGGATGGCGGGATCGTTTGCGAGCTTGGTGAGAAGATTACGAGCGGACTCGGGGTTGGGGAGATGAGGGAGGGGTTCGATGCGGTGGAATGTGTATTGGGAGTCTGTGGACGAGGATGGTCCCGTAGACCGCACCTATCACTCGGTCAGCACAAGGTAGAGACACGACAAGGGTGGACATACCTTCACTGGGGCTCTCTGGGCGCGCTCTCGTAGTATTCGTTCTTTGCGCTGGTGCTCGCTCTCTGTTGCCTTCAGTCCTCCGAGTTCCTCGGCGGTCGGGCCGATCAGCTGCACCTTCATCCCATCCTTCAAGCCCGCGTCCGAGATCGTGGCGTCGGGGCCGAGAGTCTTCTTACCCTTGTAGAGCAGCTTCTGGTTCTCTTGGGGCACAGCTGTGAGCTCTTCGAGGCGTTCCTGAAGGTATGCGAGAGTGGACTCTGGAAGCAGCGAGAGTGGGTGCGTTGCCCCTCGGTGAGTGAATGTGAGATGAATTGAAGGGGTCTTGGATTGCATAGGTATGCGTGTGTTGTGCAGATGATAGACGTAGTCGTGATATCGGAACGAAGGAGAAAGAAGTATGAATTGAGATGAGGACGCGTAAGTAGGTCAGTAAGTAAGTACTTACAGCATGTGGCTGAGCAAGCAGGCGCTCGGAGTCCTCGGTGGCCATGTCGGCAATTGCCTTATCGAGTCAGCATCATGATGTCATCCCCCGAGAGGAAAGCCGACTGCCTCAAGGACGATCATCCACGTGCGGACGCACTGTGGAAAGACACAGAAAACATGCGCAATTGGAGAACATGATGGAACACGAGCGGAATATACGTAAAGTGGACGCAGGGATTGGTGAGGAGGGGGAGGTACATAGCATAGTGCACTTCGACCATGGCTAGAAGGCATTCGAGACATCTTGAATTCCCAGTTTCACCGCTGTTGAGCCAGTTAAAAACATAAAACTCGGACATGCTGTGAACATGACGAGGCTCGACGGACAAAACGCGGGCAGCAGAGTGCGATCCGCCGGGCACCACCTGTGGCCTGGTGCCACGTGGGGAGGAGTGTATATTCAGATGACAAGTACGTTCCCTCGCGTGACCCCTGCGTTCGTCCCCAGCTTTCCCCTGCCCGTCGTCATTTCTCCTCCCTGCCTTCTACTCTCACCGTCCCCCCCATCCTAACGCATTGGACACCCTAGACCATCTTCACAACACACGCTGTCCCCGCCATGTCGTCCATATTTCAAGGCCGCCGTAAACACCAGCGCCCTGTTCCTGTCACGAGCGACCACGGTGCGTCCGTTGCTATTCCAGGCGGTTCCCGAACAGTTTCGCTGACAACACCACGTCAATGCATAGATCCATGGGGGATGCATGGCGACGCGTCCAGCGATGAGGCGGAGGCCAGCACGTCGACACGCACCGCCGCTGTTAGAATCATGAGCACCGTGCGACGGTTTTCGTACAGCACGCCCAAGAAGCGCGAGCGGGGATACTCGGTGCGTGGCGGCATCTCAGAGAACGTCTGTTACGACCCCAGTCGTGTCCAGACATGTTCGTGTTTGCGTTCCTCCGCAGCAAGAACCTTGTCTGGCCCGAAATTACGAAGTAGACGGGCAATGCGGCGGCGTGAGCGCGTCTCGTCGGCGACTGTGATCTAGCAGATGTTCTCAACTCTTCGTCGCCTCCGTACCCTCATCTAATCACCTCGTTGCAGCAGGAACGAGGGATGTACTCCACCCCAGCCGAGAGCAGCTCGCCAACGCCGTCAGGATACAGTTTCCACGATCGGCCAGATACGCGGCCGACGATCGAGCAAATAGCCATGGGCCTCCACATCTCTCGCACCCCACACGTCCTCCCCCCGCGCTCATCCTCCCAGTCCCCGCACCCACATTCTCACTCGCACTCACACTCGCACTCGCATCATTTTGCACGCCGAAGTGTCGACGCGTCCCCCCGCTCCCCCCTTCGCCCGGGCGCACCGTCCCGTCACTCGTCCCTGCCAGCCTCCGCCTTTGGTTCCTCCCCCGCGGTGCCCATCCTCCTCCCCCCGCCCCCTCCCCGCTCGTCTCTCAAGAAGCCCGGGCGCCCGTCCACGGCAGAGAGCGCGACGCTAGCCCCGTCCGCGTCGGACGCCTCGCTGTCCACGCTCACCTCCAACGGGCCGTCGACGCCGAGGTCCGTCCAGAGCGCCTCGAGCCCGCGTCCGGGAGCAGGCAGGCCGGCGTCGGTGTCGGGTCCGACGTCATCGTTCCCCGGGAAGCTGCGGCTGGAGATGATGCGGCTCTTTCCTGGGGGACGCAAGGGGTCCGTGGCGAGCAGCTTGAGCTCGCGCTCGTCCGATAGCCCGCAGCTGATGACGCCTTCGTCTTCGTCGGACGTGGACTCGCTGTCGAGTGCGGGGCTCGCGCCGAGGCAGAAGTCGGTGCGGTTCTCCGCGGGCGTGGGCTCGAAGGGGGAGGACGGGGAGTAGCGCCTGGGGTTATCTTTCATGGCTTTTTTTGGTTGTGTCTTGTTCGGAGCGACGTGTCTATCTCTATCTATCCTCTACTTAACTAGCATGCATTGGATACTCTTGCATACATCTACTCTGTTGCGCTACCCCCCTCTCGATGTTTCAGTGTTGTTCCGTTGCATTGCATACCTATTTACGGCCATCATCGTCATTCTATCTCTTCCTGGCACATCTCATCCATTGTCATTTAGACGTTACGACTCCATTCATATCCCGACGGTGCCTGTGTTACATTCTCGCGATGTCTGTAGAAGTAGTCCCGTCACAATCTATCGTAGTATTCTTTCTCGCGTTGGTGTGGTGCGACGCCCTACGTTCCATATCGACCAGTTTGGTAGAGACATTCAACATTGTGCCTCATCAATGCTGATCTTTGATGGACTTTATAGAAACGAACGACAACTAGTGGGCGCTCGTGCCCGAGTCAATACGCCGCCGCAATGGGGGCCAACGTCTATGCGAAGCATTGTATACATCCTCCAGCGCTTGTACAGCAACCCAGGTCGAGTATTACAACTTAGAGGGAGTGGTCGCGAGCGCACGGCGTGTGCTAGGAGGGTGAGGTTCGCTAAAGGATGTTATCACGACTAGAGACGTTTCAGAAGATCGGTGAGCTGGCTAGTAGCTCGGGCTATGTGTGACCGAAAGAGCGATCTTATCACATCGTTCTAAGATCCTTGATGTTCCCGTCGGGCGGGAAGAGTCAAGCTATTCTCTCGGCGCGGATTCTACGTCTTGACCTCCGTCTACCCCGTCCTCCACAGACTCGTCTTCCGGCCCGAAGTAGTCTGATGGTGCAAGCGAGGCCCCGAGCGATCCGGCAACTCGGTCGAATACTATAGAACTAGAGTGGGATGGCGTCAAGGCTCGCGAAGAGCCGAAGTCAAGAGCGCGGAGATTGACGGACTGCAGGTGTAGGAGAAAGCGCAAGATGAGGACGGCGGACAGCCTGTGCAAATATGAGTGCGGTGAGAGGAAGGGTTGGGCGACGGTCAGCATGTACGCTCAGGCATGGGGATGTGGATGGACACGTACGGATACGTGAAATTCGTGACATTGCTGCTGCTGAGGAGGAAGTCTACGTCCAGCTACGCCACAGATTTGTGAAATTAGCATTGAAAACCGGCATGATGGGCTCGGGTCTTACGGAGAGGATGGTGAAAGCCAGATGCAATGAGTTGAGCACGAGGAGGATGCTGGACAGCCCGTTGCATGAGGCGGATGCATCTTCGGAGTGACGCTCCACTTACAGAAAATAGACGGTCCCTGGGTGGATTTACATCAGTCTTCCTGGACCCGACTGGGCATCCAGACGTGGGCGCACCATCGACAAGAAGAACGCGGGAGATACTACTCTTCGGTATATTTGCATGTCGTCGAGACAGGGTGTACCATGTTGCCCAAATGGCAATACAGTCTGCCATGATTAGGCAAGAGCGAGATATGGTCGTCACTGTCGTCAGCCGTTTATGAGACGGGCGCACGGTGTCCTGAGATTGTGCCCTTACGTCTAAAGATGAATCCTTGATCAGTCACGTTGTCTAACACAACACTTTGGACGAGCAACATTTTTACCACATTCACAGGCGTGGGATCCAGTAAGACACATCCGTAAGGGGGTAAGTTCACACCCTTTAGTCCAGACGAAAAGTCAACCTATCATTGACTTATAAACAATCCTGAAAATGTGGGCATGCGTAGGGAAAACAATAGTTACCAGACAGAGTCCGAAGGTTGCCGCAGACAAGATGAAGGTAGCGGAGGAGAGAAAGACGTTCTTAAGGAGCACGTGGACACGTATGGCTGTAAATGCTAGGAACGCCGGATGTTTCCCGGCCTGTCAGCGAATCAACGATGGCAACAAAAGACGTCCCACCACGCACCTCCAAGGATCAAATAAAGGAGATACTGCACGGCAGGGATACCTCTTCCTGATGCAGCGCAGCTACATAAAGACAAGCACGTCCAATGACTGAGGACGGAGGTTTGACGAATGTCACGTACCCCTAGTAGAGGGAAGACATAGATGAGTCACTTGAAATCGCAGGTGTACTAGTACGGCTGAAGGTGAATGGGATGCTACACACCTCGTCTGACACCCCTAATGCAGTGCCAAAACTCCACACGAAATAGAGCATCGTGGCGTACTTATTCAACCAGAATAATACTGCCGCACCCGTCAGCTTACGTCCCCAGAAACATCTAATCTCGTCACCAGTGGTAATGACGGAATCATACATGAACAGCACTGTGACTGGGATTAAGTAAACGATATCAGAATGAAGGTGGCAAAGCCCACTTCACCTGCTCCTGCTTCAGCGCAGTAGTTGGCGAGAAGGCTATTGATTAAATTCGTTGTCACCCAACGTGTCTGCGCTTCCTTGGATAGGAATAAGAATGGCTTACGAGCTTGCGTACTGTGCAACGAACTGGGCAGCGTCTAACGTAGACATATCGACTGGAGTGCTGTGACTGCTGTGCAGGGTAGAAGCTTAGGGATGGGAGGTTGCGTCAAATGGCTGTCTCCCCTAGCGGGGGCAATAGTTATACCCGGTGCAGCAAGCCACTAATCTCGGGTCGAAGATCTATCCGTTTAGCTCATGACAAGGGGAGAGATATGGGAAACCTACCATATGGTCTTCGGGGTTGTAGCTTGTCTAGGACAATCATTTCCGATGTCTGTGCTGTGCGGTTGGTCGCGGTGTTCTCAGGTGTAGTTGAATACCCGGCCAGTAGGCATTCGCGAGTACAACTATCCGGCACAGTCTGAACGAGCGGTCTTGATCCTTGCAAGCACGTCACACAGAGGGCAGCGGCGGAATGGAAGGTGATCCAGATGGGGTCCGATTGTTGGTGTATCAAGGGTGTGTACGTCATACCTAACACTTGAGCATCATGTGCGACGCCACAGATAGGCCTGGTAGCCAGCCATGGCGGACGCAATCAACACATTATCAAGACGATGGATTGGACTCTGGGTCAATCCGTGGCCGTTGATATAGAGCGGAGGCGTGGTCCTTGTCATGGAATTTTGTTAGAGAATTGCAATGAGATGGGAATGCTGGCACTCACAAACTCGGCAATCGAATGAACCTCATATGGGGCTTGTAGCCACTACATTACGATAGACGAACGCATGAGCGCCATGACCAAATTCACGGACCAGAATAACGGGCGAACGCATGGCGTATAATGCGTGGTATACAAGACGATTATTTGAGGCGAGTGGGGAAGACTATAGGCACAAAGAATGCTGAGGAACATGTGTAACCCTGACGCTCTCCCGGCAACGAGTCTTCCGTGCAAAGATCATGAACAGCAGGATGTGGTCCTAGCTCCCACCTCTGAGGGTTGTATGTCATTTCCAGGCGGAGAGGAGTTGGGGTCCCACCAGATGTAACGAGTGTCGATGTCTCCGAGTTGTACATTGTACGTGTGATAAACAATTCGGCGCGTTCGTTCGTTGGCACGTAAGTAGGCTATCCTGTACGCCCGTCAGTGCCACATCTACAACACATTGCACGTCTTGTGACATTCACACTCACCTTAGAATGATGCGACAACAGTGATTCTCCACCTACCATCTCTGCAACGGTACTCTGATTCAGCGTGCTGTATGGAGTAGGTAGAACTTGAACCTGCGAAGGACTGCGGGAAGCTATGTCAGACTTGTGTCACAAGCGCCTTGGTCGTCTTCCAAATCCGTCCCGGTCGGCTGCTTGCCCTCCTCCCGCCATCGTCCCTCCTCGACCAACTCTCCCTTTCTTGTCTCTCAGATTTTCCCTCCTTCTGCCGCTGTACCCTTTGGTGTTCCGCGCTAAGGAGCGGCCGACCGACGGTTCTCTGTCAGTCTTTGCACGACCAATTTTCACGTCCGACACGTCCGGCTCGGCCCTTGATACTATCTCTTAACTGGTCGTGCCTCGCTGCAGCCTCAAATTTCAAGTTCTACTAGACGGAAAGTTCAAAGACCTATAGCTCTCTTCAACGAGACCTAGCCCCCAATACCAACATGGCGCCTGTTGAGACAGAGTACTACGACCTGGTGCGCCGCGAGAGCTCTCTGCCTCGGTCCTCTGAGGTGCGGTCAGGCTGTATCTCCTAACAAGCTACTGCTCGCGTAGTTGGGTGTACCCACGGACGTGAATGACACGGACTTGAAGAAGGCATATCGGAAGCAGGCTATCAAGGTCAGTGCTTGTCGTCTATGTCTTTCGAGCAATCACTTATCCAGGCCATCCCTCGCTCTCCAAATAATCTCCTTCTGGGAACTCGCATCGTGTTGTGTCCTGCCGCGACGCCCCCCATCTTGGCTTGCTCTTGGGGCTGCGAACTCTAGTACCATCCCGACAAGAACCCCTCCCCGGACGCTGAGGAGAAGTTCAAGGAAATCAGGTGCGTCCCGCTCATTCGACGCGCCTCCCTGGGCGTGCTGACTTCGTCGTTCTCCCGGTATGCAGTAAAGCCTACCAGATCCTTTCGGATCCTGTGAGTAGCCCTTCTGTTGGTCTCTGTCCTCCCTACATATCTATCTCTCCGCCACACTTCCTATTCTCTCCCTTTCATGTCGTTGACGTATTATATTGACCCCTCTCGCCCTCGCTCCCCTGCACCACAGAATCTCCGCGCCGTATACGACAAGAATGGCGCCAAGATGGTACGCGGATGTGGATCGTGTGAGCTGAGGTGTGGCAGCGCTGATTAGTGTCCACTTGTAGGTGGACAAGGAGGGTGGCGTCGGCATGGAAGACGCGGCCGGCTTCTTCGCGAACGTTTTCGGCGGCGAGCGGTTCATGGACTACGTGAGTGACCACTACACTTGTCGGATCTCGCGACCCCTGCAACGTAGTGGACTAGTCCTCGCTCCACAAGTCCCCCATACGAGCGGACGCAAGTTCGTCATGCGCGGGGTGGCTCGTTCACAATGCGACCCCTTCCATCACTTTGTCTCTAATGCACCTTCTCCTGATAGATCGGCGAGATCTCGTTGATGAAGGAGATGACATCCGTCGCGACGACCATGATGTCCGAGGAGGAAAAGGCAGAGCTGGAGCGCGAGATGAACGAGGCGCGCTCGCCTGTGGCCGGCGACGCGACCTCCGTCAAATCAACGCCAGCGTCCCCTTCTCCCCTCGCCCCCGCCGAAGATGGTCCCGCGTCCGCGCCCGCCAGCAGCGCCGCCCACCGCGCGTCGCACATCCCCTCCCCTGCGCGCTCGTCGTCTCAGTCTTCGCTCGCGTCGCCTGGGGTCGCAGCGGCCACGAGCCAAGACCCACTCGCGACGGCGACCAAGAGTCCCGCTTCTTCCTCGACGACCAACCTCAAGGAGGGCGGCAAGGACGTGCACAAAGCCGACAAGGAAAGGGACCGCGACACCCACGCCAAAAAACGCTCGAAGCTCACCCCGGAGCAGAGGAAGAAGCTGCAGGAGCTGGACGAGGAACGCAAGAAGGCGATGGAGGAGCGCATCGAGACGCTCGCCAAGAAGCTTGTGGACCGGCTCCGGCCGTTCGTCGACGCGAAGCGTCCGGGGGATAAGGACGATCCAGAGACGCAGGCGTTCGAGGCGCGGATGCGGCGCGAGGCGGACGACTTGAAGCTGGAGAGCTTTGGGGTGGAGCTGCTGCACACGATCGGGAATATCTATATGACGAAGGCGACGTCGTTCTTGAAGAGCAGGAAGTTCCTTGGCATGTGAGTGCCTTCGGATGGTATGAGGTGGATTTCTGAGTGGCTGACAAGTCTGGGGCAGTCCTGGGTTCTTCTCCAGATTGAAGGAGAAGGGTGCCATGGCGAAGGACGCGTGGGGCGTTATTGGCAGCGCGTGAGTTCCCTCCACCGTCTCGCACTTGATAGCTCGCTCATGTCATCGTAGCATCGGCGTCCAGCAGATGATAGCAGTAAGTACAACTCAGGATCAATGCAGGGCATAATCTAAGGTTCTGTGTGATAGGAAATGGAGAAGCTGCAAGCGCGAGGCGAGTTGGGCGAGGAAGAGCTCAAGGCGTTAGAAGAAGATGTTACTGGCAAGGTAAGCAATTGAGATCATTACGAAGCGATCCTTTTGCTCATCCTGACGCGACCAGATCATGCTCGCGTCTTGGCGAGGGACTAGGTTTGAAGTCTCGCAGGTCCTCCGAGAGGTGCGCTTACATTGCTTCTCGTACCGCCACCCCCTCTACTAACGTCGTTCGCTCATATGGTAGGTCGTCGACCGCGTGCTCAAGGAGCAAGGGGTCTCGGATCAGGTCCTGTACAACAGAGCAAAGGTATGGACCAACGTCATGTGGTTGAATGTGTTCATTGCACTGAATGACATGGATTGGGGACAGGGCCTTCTGCTTATTGGAGCCGTCTTCAAGTCGACTGTGCCCGACGAATCGGATCAGGATCGTCGAGAGCTCGAGAGGTACGCTGTCTTCCCTAGTCGTCCCCGCTGTCAGGCTGATATTGTCCCTAACAGGATGGTCGCCGAAGCGGCAGCGGGCAAGTCGAAACACCACCAGCTGCGAGCCGCTCAGCGTGCTCGGAGGCATGAGTCATCGTCTCCGGGACCGGCGAACGCGCACCCCAACGCGGAGAAGGCGCACGCGGAGAAGGCCCCGCCCGCCTCCGCTGCATGATATCGTCTAGCATGCAAATTCCATGAGGGATCCCACATGGTACATGGATATTTACGGATGCTTTGATACTTGGCTCCCCGCCCATGCTGGAGGTACCTACTGTACCAATCTATCAGTACACATCTTTGTCTAATCCCCTCTACACACTCTCTACGCTTCGCCCTCCGTACACTTGTTCTTCCGCTGCATGCTGCATGCTCCCCAAACTCACATATACACATCCAACATGATCACTTGGTTTCTTTGGTGCGTCTCTTGTTTGATTCTGGGTTCATCTGGTGTCAGTCTAATAGACTACTCGGTAGTTACTCGTACATGCCCGTATATTCTCCCCTTGCGATTCCGCTCTCCGCTCTCTATGCTTTGTCTCGCGCGCTCCGCGCTGCTAGGTTTACGTAGTAATGACCGTATCCGCAATACTCTTGCTGCTGTGCTTTCGAGTTGAAGGGGGGATACTGGTGCCATTGCGCACTTACGATCTGGCCTAGTTGGGAGCACAGCCTCCCTCGTTGAGGAGTCTTGCAATTCTCATACCTCGCCGGCGTCCACTTCACATCCAGGAGCCTCGCCAGCTACCCCTCCAGGTGGTGGAGATCAATCCTATAGTCTGGAGAGGTCATCGGGGTAGGATAGCAAGGACCACACTCCCAGTGACCTTTCGCGAGAACTGGCAGAGCTGCGAATGTCTCTAGACTCTCCGCTTACGGTGCGTCCTACAATCCCTCCTCCCTCGCCCAAGGAGCGGCTGCTGGATGAAACGATCCATACCTTAGTTACCACCGTTCACAACGAGACCCCAATGATGCTACCACACAGACAACAGGCCTCACGAAGAGCACTTCTCATGTCTATCCATCCTTCTCTACATATGCCCTCATACGATCTTCAACATGCTCACGTCTGTCACAGGTCATCCAGAAATTCCTCCACCTCGCGCCGAGCGACTCCTTCCTCGTTCCAAGAAGCCTGCAGGATCTTCCGCAGACTCTGCAACTTCGCCCGCTTCCGCGCACCGTCCTCCCCAAACGCACTGCTGAGGACATTATTCATCTCGGCCTTGACGGCGACTATGGTCCCCACGGGCACCCTCCCGTTGCGGAGTAACTTGCCCAGCCCAGTACCGTTTCGGACCTCGATGAGCTCGTACGCGACATCGAGATCCTCAGAGAGGCCGCTCTGCATCGTACTCCTGCTGGTGCAGGTATTCGTAGTTGCTCAGCTGGGGCAAAGGCTCATATCCCAAGACGAGCGGGCCGTCTGGAGTGTCCTGCGGTGGATGGGGCAGACTTGCTAAAGGATATTTAAGTGAGGATTTCGAACTAGCCGCTTCGCGTATTTGTTCGTGCGGTTGGGTGGGGGTATGATGAGTGCTCGCGTCGTGGGCCGGGTCTGCGGGTGTTGGTGCGTGTGG